ATATTGACAATTTCCACGTAGTCCTTTCGGGGTCCTCAAGTGTTCTGATGAGTCTTCGTCGCCTTGTTGTTGTGGCTTTCTTAGGGCCAGAAATAAAGACACAAAGAGAGAGAAATATATTAACAGAAACAGTAATACCAACATATACAAATGAGAGTGTTACAGCAAGAATGTTCAGTCCGACTGTCAGAGCTGACTGCTGGAAACTTCCTTCTCCAAAAAGGCAGTACCTGCTCCTATTTATAGCTGGGAGAGTCCATGCGTGCTTGGATAAATTACCATAAAAAATATTCCATTTTATAAATAAGAGTTTTATTCTTCTTTCTCTTAATCTCAGGGATGTGTTGGTGGTGTAATTGAAAGTGGCTTAGAATGTGAAATCGAGAGCCAAGTTCGAATTCCAGCTTAGTACACTACATTCTCTTAAGAGCAAATGCCTTTGTGAAAGATATGAAAACCATCTCTCCCAGCTATGGGTTAAATAACAGGACTAGACTAGTATCTGGAAAAATATTTTTTATTCTCGAAAAAAATTGTTAATACCATATCCATTTACAAAATTAGAATTATTCCTACAATCAAAAATTTGTTTCAGCTTTAAATATCCCAGTAAAGGTTGATAAACCGTAAAAACAAATCCATCTAACAGAAATCCTTAATCCCATACTGATTCGATAATGCTATTTACTATAAATGCTTATTATTATTATTATTATTATTATTATTATTTCCTTTGGTTTCTGATGTGCACTCATTTCTTTCAAGGCCCCACCCAGTGACCTAAGGTTAGAAATGACATTATGACATTTTCCAACTGATCAATTAAAATCCAACACATGCACATATATTTTACATAGACAAAGCCCTTCGTTTGGGCGGTACATGAGTGAACAATTTTTTTGTATTTCTTTAAGGCATGGGCTTCCAGGAATCCCTTCAATGAGTCTATTGGAATCTTTTCCACTCAATTCTCTAACTACAACAGGTTGATGCTTTCATGTGCTACATTTTTGAGATTTTGATTTCAATGTCTTTGCATTTTGGTAACTTTTTGAAGATCCTTCAAGGATACATTGCACTCTGCAGGGACGGCCATTTCAATAGGGAGGCTTTTTTGTTTTGTTTGCAGGTTCTAATAACGATGTCTGGGCGATTTGTTTTCATTGTTCTTTATTATTATTATTATTATTATTAACGCCCCAACCGTTAATGTAAAAGAAATATTTGAAACAAATTACCGGAGACATTCATCGGTACCAGCTAAGCCATCATATCGCCATAAAACTCAACAACATCCTTTTATTGGTCAGCTGGAAACTACAGAGATGTAACTGAGAGAAAATGGCATTACTTGTAAAACACTAACCAAGGAAATATAACATTAAGGTCGCAAATAAATATGTGCCATAGGAAGTAGCCCCCAAAATATATCAATACTGAAAAAATGCGTGCATTTACCATGTGATATTTTGCTTTATATTCAGCTGTACAGAGAGCTTGCTTTTTATATACAGTGATGTTTTCTGCTGAAGATTAAGTGCTTTAGCGATTATTTGTTAGGTGATGATAGCTTTCTTTAAACATGTTTAAATTTCTTTTGAATATCCTTTGCTGAAATCAGGATACGTCTACCGAGTCTCTGCGTCTTTTATTCCGTCAAAACGCGTAAAAACCATTTAATTGTTTTTAATGATACATTATCAGTAAAATAAATAAAATGTATGTTAATGCATTCCCCTGACGGCCTTTGTGAGTATCTTTTATTCCAAACAGGAGCGCGTGTGCGCGTGTGTGTATGTGCGCGCGCGCGCGTGTGTGTGTGTGTGTGTGGAGAGAGAGAGAGAGTGTGTGTGTGTGTGTGTGTGTGTGTGTGTGTGTGATTGCACCGGAGGAAGAGTCGATTTCGCTTTTGAGAAGAACAATTCCGTTGACGTTGCATTGATTCTATGCAGATCATCTCGCGCCGTTGTCTTCAGCGTCTCGATTCGGGAGAAACATTTTCGCGCTAAAAACCGAAGACAGAGCGGGAATAAAAAATCAGATGACAGAAAAAAACGGAAATTAGAAACTGCTTATTACGTAGGAAGACAAATCGGTAAACTAGAGCAAGGGGAAAAAAAGAGTCAAACTAAAGCAAAAAGAATAAAAGACAAATACCGAAAAGTCAGGCAAGAAAGATTTAGATACCATGGGATTATTTACTAAGTTTAATCGCGTTTGATTAAAGGCCAAAATATCGTGGTGACTCCAATTAAATTTTTTTTAACTGTGATGAAAAAAGAAGGCCAGCCTAAATATCTGCACGAGCCGCATATTAAAATTCAAAGAGCCGTATTTTGTTTCGTGAGCCGCGGTTTGGCAACTTCTGCTGTATGGCAATATATATTTTATATTACGAAACTTGTGTTTGATACAACTGAACTGTAGTAGAAGACCCAATATAAATCGAGCTTTTGATACGTGTTAGCGGTCTGTGAGACGATCGTCTGCAATATCCCTCGACAGCAGGCGCCCAACGAGGAGAAAAATACACCAAAGTTCATTTTAAAAAAAAAATAGATTTAAGAAAGAAAGGTGAGAAGTGGCAATTATAATGAAGGAAAAATGAAGGAAGGAAAAAAGAAAAAAAGCAAGAAATAAAAAGTGAGGAAGATATTGTAGAAAGAGGAGTGTTGAGAACGAAAAAGAAAGAAAGAAAGAAACAAAATAGAAAAGAAACAAGAGAATACGAAAAAGAAGGAAGAATGAGATTAAAAAAAGAAAGAAAGAAAGAAAGAAAGAAATAAGTAGGTAGATGGAAGAAAGAAAGAGTGAAATCGGTAAAAGGACGGAAGAAAGAAAGAGTGAAATCGGTAAAAGGACGGAAGAAAGAAAGAAGGAAAGAAAGAAAGAATAGAGGAAGACTGAGAAAAAAGAAAGAGAGAAAGAGTGTAGTATTCAGTAGGAAAGGGTGAAAAAAGAAAGAAAGAAAAAAAGAAAGAAAGAAAGAAAGAAAAAAAGAATAGAAGATAAAATGGAAGACTGAGAAAAAAGAGAGAAAGTGTGAAGTATTCAGTAGGAAGGATTGAAAGAAAGAAAGAAAGAAAGAAAGAATAGAAGGAAAAGGGGAGAAGATAGAAGAACAGGAGAATGAAGGGAAAGAAAAAGAAAGCAATTAGTTTAAGGCTCTCCATGTTTACTCATAATTGTCTCACATAATTAAATGGATTAAATCTTTGGCTCGTGAATTTAGTGGCAGAATTATGTTTTCAATCTCTGAGTCAGGAAGTGTGTACAAAGACCCAGTAGAAAAGTAGTGAATAATAACTGAACAATACTAAAATAAGAATTTAGGAGTTCCGATTTAAACTGGAACAAAGTCGAGGCTACGCCCACCCCTGCCAGAAATCAAAACAGAAAAAGCATGAAGATTCCAATTTTGAAAAAGATTTAATTTTTTAAGTACCGTTTTCCGGCCTCATGGACGCGGATTTTTTTTTTCTCCAAAACTATGAACAAAAAAATTACTCTACGTCCAATATAGCAATATCATGTCTAAGAGGGACATTAAGACCATGAAAAAAATGGGTTCAATAGGAATTAGTACACGCATAGCGGTTAGTTCTGAAACTAGGACTTCTGGAAGTAAACAAACATGATAACAATAAAAAATATCACTGAAAAAAAAATGACCTCGGAAAAAGAAATTTATGGAATTGCACAAATATTTTACTTCTTGTTTTGTAGAAATACGAAATTTTACAGAAATTTTTCCTTTTACTGGCATATTGTTGCTTGCTTTGTGTGTGTCTTTTGTTGATGTACAGGGATTGGTTTTGGTTTTTTCTGCATGTATGGAATGGAACTTCTTTTATCAACAACTACCATAGTTCTTTTTTTTGCCTATTACGATAGATACCACCGTTCACTGATAACGGTAGATTTCTTTGTAGCTATTATGAATTCATTGTATGAGCAGATTTTGCTACCTGAAATACAACTAAATTTTCAATAAATGCAGAATAAAATGTACTAAAATTCATCTTTTTCAAAACATGTCCTGGTAATTAAACCTTACCTCATTTCTAGTGAAAATAAAAAGTACAAGTAGTATAATTTTTGCTAATACTGTATGTTTTTTTCGTGGTTAGTCAGAATCTCTATCTATAAAAGGAAGGATGTGTGTGTGTGTGTGTGAAGCGAATGCACGGCCGCAATTTTCGACAGATTTACACCAAAATTTACATGCACATGCTCCAAGTTAGTGGAAAGGCCAAGACCGAAGTTGCATTTCCCAACTCCCATCGATAGTGGAAATAATCGATTTTTTTATGCTTCTACGGCAGTTTTCATGTAGTTTTCGGCCATTTTCTACTGGCCAGAGTCAGAGCCTATAGCTGGCTGCCACGAATAGACAGGAAGATTCTATTTGCCAGCGTGAGAGCCAATAGCTGACTGACACGAATGTTAACTTGCATGCTAGCAAAAAAATCGACAGCTGCATTCGTCACAAGTGGGAAAAATTTAAATCTGCATGGCACTTTACTCCAATTGGCTCATTCGCTTGCTTAAACTCAACTGGGTTGGGTGTGAAAAGTATTCATTGTTAATATTCTTTTTTCATTCGGTTTTTCCAGTTACGAGTCCTTTTTTAAAGCTAATCGTTTTGTGTTCATTTTGTTTAGTTCTTTTTTTCGTAACAGATTTAATGTTTAGTATAGAGCTTAGAAAAAATTCGCAGTGTGAGATAGGCAAGAAGTAAGGCATGTAGCAACATCAGCACCGCAAAGGGCACTCCTTTAAATCAAGGAAGAGCAAAAATATTCTAAGTCAAATGATAGCGATTGCTGTATGAGTCGTACGATTTTTGAATCAAGCACGGGCAACGCCGGGTCATGCTGCTAGTGTTGCATAAAGGTAAAGGTTATAATTTTTCATTTTTTTGGCTGTCATGTGTGCATTTTAACTCTCAGTATTCTATGCCAAAATCTGGGTGCATCTAGTGCGTGAGTGCGTCTAATATGCAGGCAAATACGGTAATTGGTCTTGTGTCATGTCACAAGATTTTCAACTTTCCTATTCTTACCTATTACCTTCCTATTTTTTTCTTCTTTTTTAGTTCCCTTTTCTCTCTCCCCCTTTACTTGTTCTATTCTTTTCTTTTATTTTACGCCCACAGTCTTTCTTTTTTCGTTTTTTTTTTTAGTTTTCTATGTCTTTCTTTCTTTTATGTTCTAGTTCCTTTCATTCTTCATTGTGAAGAGAGGGAGACTCCTTCAAGACATTTTACCCTAGACACAGCACTACTGCAGTACATGAGCAGCTCCCGCTTCGGGAGTGCCCATAACGTGACACACTTCTTTCATTTTCTTGCTTCTGTCTTTTCTTCTTTCTCTTACATTGGTTTATTTCTTTCTTTTGCTTTTTTCTTCTTCTCTTTCCTTCCTTTTCAATGTTCTTTTTTCCATCATTCTTTTTCTTCTTTCATTCTTTCTTTTTTCCTTTTCCCCAGTCTCGATTATTTTCCTATTTTTTCTTATCGTATCTTTTCTCTTTTGTCATTTTTGCGTATCGTCTGTTTGCTAGCATTTTTGCGTATCGTCTGTTTGCTATCATTTTTCCTTATCGTCTGTTTTACATCATTTTTGTTTTAGTATATTGCGTTCGTTCAATTTTTCATTCTTTTTTCATCCTTCCTTTTGAAATTCAACCCATTTTTATTTAATTTGTTTTTAAAACCATTTGTTTTCTTCCATTTCTTAACTGAATTTATAAAATCTTTTTGCAATTTTTCATTCTAACATTATTTACTTCTGCATTTGATGGTTTTGTTCTCAACCTTAGCATTTTCTGCTTTTTATATCGCGTACTTTGTTTCTTTCCTGTCTGAGATTCATTTTTTTGCCGTTTCGTTTTTTTAACCTCCTGAAGCCAAAGATTTCTTATCGCCATTGGGACTTGCAAACGATTAATATCTGCTTTCTGTAATGATTTTTTTTTAAATAAAAAAATTGTATTTTAGAAAGAAAAGCATTTTAAATGTTTAAATAAAAACTGAACATAAAAACAGCAATGATTTCGTAACAAAGGGAGAAAACTCTTACAAACTTTCTTACGCTTTTTATGTAAACACTACAGATACGTTCAGAAAATTACAACTTTGATCGTATACTTACATACACATAATAAATGTTAAACATTTGAACAAATACATACTTTTTTAACTCAGTATTAACTACCTGGCCTTTAATAGGGTTTAATGGATTATAGAAAGAAAATTTTAGGTACGACTGTATTTTTATAAAACTGTGAATGAAGGTGTAATAGCAAAAGTACATAGGTGTAGGCTTTAAGAAATCTTTATTCAACTGAGAAAACAAGGTTCGTGTATAGTGTCCTTTTATAGTCCCAGTAAATAGAAATAACACTCTCAAAGAGGAGATTAACAAAGCAAGGGGAGACCACTCTTGATTATTCATAACAAAAGTTACTACGGAATTTTTAGGTTCTCTATTACTATTTCCATGATGTACTAACTCAGGATGACTAAAAGAACAGAACAAATACGCATTTATATATCGCTTTATGATAAAAAAGATATGTATATATATATATATATACACCCTCGTGCAAATTAATAAAAAAAACGCTTTAGTTTTATTTCTTTTACCACGCGGTCAGTTTTAGGGCCTCTGGAGTGACAGGATGAATCGATCTTTATTTTTTACTCAGATTAGCTCATTTGCAGTGGTGTTCTGTAATATGAATCTATTTTCGGGTTGAATGGTGTATTTTTGGCCTTGAAAAATATTGCGTTATCCGTGATTGCATCAGATTTTTTATCATACGCAGACACTATTGTCTCGATTGTCAATTAGTTGTCCACGGCCATTGTCACAGATGGACGTTCCTCCAAGGAAGAGTACGAAAATTGTAATGCTGCATGAATACAATGGCAAGCCTTTTAAATCTAATCAAGAATCTGTGGTCAATCTGCAAGGTATGACTTCGTGGAATGGACATCCTAACATGGGTACTGAGTATATTGTGTAACATGCTTTTTTTATTCATATATTTTATGATTTCTCTTTGTGGAACAAATAGTGAAAGCTATATACACTCTTGTGCAAATTATACAGGAAAATGTGCAGGGCGATGATCACCTGACCCCTTGTGCAAATTAATTGAAGCAAAACGAATAATTCCTTTATTATTTACCTTTTTTCGTATTTTTCCAATCAAATATACTCAGAAAAGAAACTGTTTGCATAGAAGAGGAAAGATTATCAGGACAATTACGGCTGTGGGAAAATGACTGAAGTTAAGATGCCAGGCCAGAACCAATAATATCGATTCTAGAAATTTCTTCCTCTCACATTTCTCGATTCTAGAAGTTTCTTCCTGTTTCTTTTCTCACATTTCTCGATTCTAGAAGTTTCTTCCTGTTGTTTTTCTCATATTTCTCGATTTTTGAAGTTTCTTCCTGTTTCTTTTCTCATATTTCTCGATTCTAGTTTCTTCCTGTTTCTTTTCTTCGATTCTGTTTTTTCCTGTTTCTTTTCTCACATTTTCAATTCGATTCTTAGAAAATTCGATTTTTGAAGTTTCTTCCTGTTTCTTTTTCTTTTCTCAGTTTCTTCCTGTTTCTTTTCTCATTTCTCGATTCTAGAAATTTCTTCCTGTTTCTTTTCTCCACATTTCTCGATTCTGAAGTTTCTTCCTGTTTCTTTTCATTTCTCGATTCTAGAGTTTCTTGTTTCTTTACTCACATTTCTCGATTCTAGAAGTTTCTTCCTGTTTTTTTTCCTGTTTCCTTTTCTCACATTTCTCAATTCTAGAAGTTTCTTCCTGTTTCTTTTCTCACATTTCTCGATTCTAGAAGTTTCTTCCTGTTCTTTTCTTTTCTCATATTTCTTCGATTTCTCGATTCTGAAGTTTCTTCCTGTTTCTTTTCTCATATTTCTCGATTCTAGAAAGTTTCTTCCTGTTTCTCACATTTCTCGATTCTTTTCTTCCTGTTTCTTTCTCATTTTCTCGATTCTAGAAGATTCTTCCTGTTTCTTTTCTCACATTTCTCGATTCTAGAAGTTTCTTCCTTTTTCTTTTCTCATTTCTCGATTCTAGTTTTTCTTCCTGTTTTTTTCTAATTTCTCGATTCTAGAAGTTTCTTCCTTTTCTCTTTCTCTCTAGAAGTTTCATTTCTCGATTCTAGAAGTTTCTTCCTGTTTCTTTTCTCACATTTCTCGATTCTAGAAGTTTCTTCCTGTTTCTTTTCTCCACATTTCTCGATTCTAGAAGTTTCTTCCTGTTTCTTTTCTCACATTTCTCGATTCTAGAAGTTTCTTCCTGTTTTCTTTTCTCATTTCTCGATTCTAGAAGTTTCTTCCTGTTTCTTTTCTCATTTCTCGATTCTAGAGTTTCTTCCTGTTTCAGATTCTAGAAGTTTTTTCTTCCTGTTTCTTTCTTTTCCACATTTCTCGATTCTAGAAGTTTCTTCCTGTTTCTTTTCTCACATTTCTCGATTCTAGAAGATTCTTCCTGTTTTTTTCTCATTTCTCGATTCTGTTTCTTCCTGTTTCTTTTTTCTCACATTTCTCGATTCTAGAAGTTTCTTCCTGTTTCTTTTCTCACATTTCTCGATTCTAGAAGTTTCTTCCTGTTTCTTTCTCACATTTCTCGATTCTAGATTTTCTTCCTGTTTCTTTTCTCACATTTTCTCGATTCTAGAAGTTTCTTCCTGTTTCTTTTCTCTCATTTCTCGATTTAGAAGTTTCTTCTGTTCTTTTCTCATTTCTCGATTCTAGAAGTTTCTTCCTGTTTCTTTTCTCACATTTCTCGATTCTAGAAGTTTCTTCCTGTTTCTTTTCTCATTTCTCGATTCTAGAAGATTTCTTCCTGTTTCATTTTCTCACATTTCTCGATTCTAGAGTTTCTTCCTGTTTCTTTTCTCACGTTTTCTCGATTCTAGAAGTTTCTTCCTGTTTCTTTTCTCACATTTCTCGATTCTAAGTTTCTTCTGTTTCTTTTCGATTTCTCGATTCTGAAGATTCTTCCTGTTTCTTTTCTCCATTTTTCGATTCTAGAAGTTTCTTCCTGTTTTTTCTCCATTTCTCGATTCTAGAAGTTTCTTCCTGTTTCTTTTTCATATTTCTCGATTCTAGAATTTCTTCCTGTTTCTTTTCTCACATTTCTCGATTCTAGAAGTTTCTTCCTGTTTCTTTTCTCACATTTTTCTCGATTCTAGAAGTTTCTTCCTGTTTCTTTTCTCACATTTTTCTCGATTCTAGAAGTTTCTTCCTGTTTCTTTTCTCATATTCTCTCGATTCTAGAAGTTTCTTCCTGTTTCTTTTCTCTCATTTCTCGATTCTAGTTTCTTCCTGTTTTCTTTTCTCATATTTCTCGATTCTAGAAGTTTCTTCCTGTTTCTTTTCTCACATTTCTCGATTCTAAGTTTCTCCTGTTTCTTCCTTCTCGATTTTTCTGTTTCTTTTTCTCATATTTCTCGATTCTAAGATTCTTCTCGATTCTAGAAGTTTCTTCCTGTTCTTTTCGAAGAAGTTTCTTCCTGTTTCTTTTCTCACATTTCTCGATTCTAGAAGTTTCTTCCTGTTTCTTTTCTCACATTTCTCGATTCTAGAAGTTTCTTCCTGTTTCTTTTCTCACATTTCTCGATTCTAGAAGTTTCTTCCTGTTTCTTTTCTCATATTTCTCGATTCTAGAAGATTCTTCCTGTTACTTTTCACACATTTCTCGATTCTAGAAGTTTCTTCCTGTTTCTTTTCTCACATTTCTCGATTCTAGAAGTTTCTTCCTGTTTCTTTTCTCATGTTTCTCGATTCTAGAAGTTTCTTCCTGTTTCTTTTCTCACATTTCTCGATTCTAGAAGTTTCTTCCTGTTTCTTTTCTCACATTTCTCGATTCTAGAAATTTCTTCCTGTTTCTTTTTCTTTCATTTCTCGATTCTAGATTCTTTTCTTCCTGTTTCTTTCTCATATTTCTCGATTCTAGAAGTTTCTTCCTGTTTCTTTTCTCACATTTTCTCGATTCTAGAAGTTTCTTCCTGTTTCTTTTCTCACATTTCTCGATTCAGAAATTTCTTCCTGTTTCTTTCTCACATTTCTCGATTCTAGAAGTTTCTTCCTGTTTCTTTTCTCACATTTCTCGATTCTAGAAGTTTCTTCTGTTTCTTTTCTCACTTCGATTCTAAGTTTCTTCCTGTTTCTTTTCTCATTTCTCGATTCTAGAAGTTTCTTCCTGTTTCTTTTCTCACATTTCTCGATTCTGAAGTTTCTTCCTGTTTCTTTTCTCATATTTCTCGATTTTAGAAGTTTCTTCCTGTTTCTTTCTCCATTCTCTCGATTCTAAGTTTCTTCCTGTTTCTTTTCTCACATTTCTCGATTCTAGAAGTTTCTTCCTGTTTCTTTTCTCACATTTCTCGATTCTAGAAGTTTCTTCCTGTTTCTTTTTTTCTCGATTCTAGAAGTTTCTTCCTGTTTCTTTTCTCACATTTCTCGATTCTAGAAGTTTCTTCCTGTTTCTTTTTCACATTTCTCGATTCTAGAAGTTTCTTCCTGTTTCTTTTTCTCACATTTCTCGATTCGAAATTTCTTCCTGTTTCTTTTCTCACATTTCTCATTTTCTCGATTCTAGAAGTTTCTTCCTGTTTCATTTTCTCACATTTCTCGATTCTAGAAGTTTCTTCCTGTTTCTTTTCTCATATTTCTCGATTCTAGAAGTTTCTCTTCCTGTTTATTTTCTCATTTCTCGATTCTAGAGTTTCTTCCTGTTTCTTTTCTCACATTTCTCGATTCTAGGTTTTCTTCCTGTTTCTTTTCTCACATTTCTTTCTTCTAGAAGTTTCTTCCCTTTTTCTTTTCTTCACATTTCTCGATTCTAGAAGATTCTTCTGATTTTTTCATTTCTCGATTCTAGAAGTTTCTTCCTGTTTCTTTTCTCATTTTTTTCTAAGATTTTCGATTTTCTCACATTTCTCGATTCTAGAAGTTTCTTCCTGTTTTTTTCTAGATAGAAAGTTTCTTCCTCGATCATTTCTCGATTCTAGAAGATTCTTCCTGTTTCTTTTCTCATTTCTCGATTCTAGAAGTTTCTTCCTGATTTCTTTTCTTTTTTCTCGATTCTAGAAGTTTCTTCCTCATTTCTCGATTCTAGAAGTTTCTTCCTGTTTCTTTTCTTTTCTCATTTCTGTTTCTTTTCTAGATTTCTCGATTCTAGAAGATTCTTCCTGTTCATTTTCTCACATTTCTCGATTCTAGAAGTTTCTTCCTGTTTCTTTTCTCACATTTCTCGATTCTAGAAGTTTCTTCCTGTTTCTTTTCTCACATTTCTCGATTCTAGAAGTTTCTTCCTGTTTCTTTTCTCATATTTCTCGATTCTTGAAGTTTCTTCCTGTTTCTTTTCTCACATTTCTCGATTCTAGAAGTTTCTTCCTGTTTCTTTTCTCACATTTCTCGATTCTAGAAATTTCTTCCTGTTACTTTTCACACATTTCTCGATTCTAGAAGTTTCTTCCTGTTTCTTTTCTCACATTTCTCGAATCTAGAAGTTTCTTCCTGTTTCTTTTCTCACATTACTCGATTCTAGAAGATTCTTCCTGTTTCATTTCTCATATTTCTCGATTCTAGAAGTTACTTCCTGTTTCTTTTCTCACATTTCTCGATTCTAGAAGTTTCTTCCTGTTCCTTTTCTCACATTTCTCGATTCTAGAAGTTTCTTCCTTTTTCTTTTCTCATTTCTCGATTCTTTCTTCCTGTTTCTTTTCTCACATTTCTCGATTCTAGAAGTTTCTTCCTGTTCTTTTCTCCTTTTCTCGATTCTAGAAGTTTCTTCCTGTTTCTTTTCTCATTTTTCTCGATTCTAGAAGTTTCTTCCTGTTCTTTTCTCTCATTTCTCGATTCTAGAAGTTTCTTCCTGTTTCTTTTCTCCATTTCTCATTCTAGAAGTTTCTTCCTGTTTCTTTTCTCACATTTCTCGATTCTAAGTTTCTTCCTGTTTCTTTTCTCACATTTCTCGATTCTAGAAGTTTCTTCCTGTTTTTTTCTCCACATTCTCGATTCTAGAAGTTTCTTCCTGTTTTTTCTCACATTTTCGATTCGAATTCTGTTTCTTTCTCTCATTTCTCGATTTTTGAAGTTTCTTTTCCTGTTTCTTTTCTCATTTCTCGATTCTAGAAGTTTCTTCCTGTTTCTTTTTTCTCATTTCTCGATTCTAGAAGTTTCTTCCTGTTTCTTTTCTCACATTTTCTCGATTCTAGAAGTTTCTTCCTGTTTCTTTTCTCACATTTTCTCGATTCTAGAAGTTTCTTCTGTTTCTTTCTCATATTTCTCGATTCAGAATTCTTCCTGTTTCTTTTCTCATTTCTCGATTCTAAGTTTCTTCCTGTTTCTTTTCTCACATTTCTCGATTCTAGAAATTTCTTCCTGTTTCTTTTCTCACATTTCTCGATTCTAAGTTTCTTCCTGTTTCTTTTCTCATTTCTCGATTCTAGAAGTTTTCTTCCTGTTTCTTTTCTCACATTTCTCGATTCTAGAAGTTTCTTCCTGTTTCTTTTCTCATTCTAGTTTTCCTGTTTCTTTTCTCACATTTTCTCGATTCTAGAAATTTCTTCCTGTTTCTTTTCACATTCTCGATTCTAGAAGTTTCTTCCTGTTTCTTTTCTCCATTTCTCGATTCTAGAAGTTCCTTCCTGTTTCTTTTCTCTCATTTCTCGATTCTAGAAGTTTCTTCCTGTTTCTTTTCTCACATTTCTCGATTCTAGAAGTTTCTTCCTGTTTCTTTTCTCATTTCTCGATTCTAGAAGTTTCTTCCTGTTTCTTTTCTCATATTTCTCGAGTTTTCTTCCTGTTTCTTTTCTCATTTTCTCTTCCTTTTTCCTTTCTTTTCTCATATTTCTCGATTCTAGAAGTTTCTTCCTGTTTCTTTTCTCACATTTTCTCGATTCTAGAAGTTTCTTCCTGTTTCTTTTCTCACATTTCTCGATTCTAAGTTTCTTCCTGTTTCTTTTCTCACATTTCTCGATTCTAGAAGTTTCTTCCTGTTTCTTTTTCTCATTTCTCGATTGCAGTTTCTTCCTGTTTCTTTCTCATTTCTCGATTCTAGAAGATTCTTCCTGTTTCTTTTCTCATTTCTCGATTCTAGAAGTTTCTTCCTGTTTCTTTTCTCACATTTTCTCGATTCTAGAAGTTTCTTCCTGTTTTTTTCTCACATTTCTCGATTCTAGAAGATTCTTCTTCCTGTTTCTTTTCTTTTTTTTTTCAATTCTAGAAGTTTCTTCCTGTTTCTTTTCTCACATTTCTCGATTCTAGAGTTTCTTCCTGTTTCTTTTCTCACATTTTCTCGATTCTAGAAGTTTCTTCCTGTTTCTTTTCTCACATTTCTCGATTCTAGAAGTTTCTTCCTGTTTCTTTTCTCACATTTCTCGATTCTGAAGTTTCTTCCTGTTTCTTTTTCATTTCTCAGTTTCTTCCTGTTTTTTTCTCAATTTCTCGATTCTAAGTTTCTTCCTGTTTTTCTCACATTTCTCGATCTAGAATTTTTCTTCCTGTTTCTTTTCTCCATTTTCTCGATTCTAAGTTTCTTCCTGTTTCTTTTCTCACATTTCTCGATTCTAAGTTTCTTCCTGTTTCTTTTCTCACATTTTCGATTCCTAAGTTTCTTCCTGTTTCTTTTCTCATTTCTCGATTCTAGAAGTTTCTTCCTGTTTCTTTTTCTCACATTTCTCGATTCTAGAAGATTCTTCCTGTTTCTTTTCTCACATTTTCTCGATTCTGAAGTTCTTCCTGTTTTTTTTCTCACATTTCTCGATTCTAGAAGTTTCTTCCCTGTTTCATTTCTTTTTTCTCGATTCTAGAAGTTTCTTCCTGTTCTTTTCTCATTTCTCGATTCTAGAAGTTTCTTCCTGACGGTTTTCTCATTTCTCGATTCTAGTTTTTCTTCCTGTTTCTTTTTCTCTCATTTCTCGATTCTAGAAGTTTCTTCCTGTTTCTTTTCTCACATTTCTCGATTCTAGAAGTTTCTTCCTGTTTCTTTTCTCTTTTTCTCGATTCTAGAAGTTTCTTCCTGTTCTTTTCTCACATTTCTCGATTCTAGAAAGTTTCTTCCTGTTTCTTTTCTCATATTTCTCAGATCTAGATTCTTCCTGTTTATTTTCTCACATTTCTCGATTCTAGAAGTTTCTTCCTGATTCTTTCTCATATTTCTCGATTCTAATTTTCTTCCTGTTTCTTTTCACATTTCTCGATTCTGAAATTTTCTTCCTGTTTCTTTTCTCACATTTCTCGATTCTAGATTTTCCTGTTTCTTTTCCACATTTCTTTCTTTTCTGTTCCACATTTCTCTCGATTCTAGAAGTTTCTTCCTGTTTCTTTTCTCACATTTCTCGATTTATTCTAAATTTCTTCCTGTTTCTTTTCTCACATTCTCGATTCTAGAAGTTTCTTCCTGTTTCTTTTCACATTTCTCGATTCTAGAAGTTTCTTCCTGTTTTCTTTCTCACATTTCTCGATTCTAGAAGTTTCTTCCTGTTTCTTTTCTCATATTTCTCGATTGGGAAAGTTTCTTCTTCCTGTTTCTTTTCTCACATTTCTCGATTCTAGAGATTTCTTCCTGTTTCTTTTCTCCATTTCTCGATTCTAATGTTTCTTCCTGTTTCTTTTCTCACATTTCTCGATTCTAGAAGTTTCTTCCTGTTTCTTTTCTCCACATTTTCTCGATTCTAGAAATTTCTTCCTTTTTCTTTTCTCATATTTCTCGATTCTAAAGTTTCTTCCTGTTTCTTTTCTCATTTTTCTCCTGATTCTAACGTTTCTTCCTGTTTCTTTTCTCATATTTTCTCGATTCTAATTTTCGATTCCTGTTTTCTTTTTCCACATTTCTCGATTCTAAGATTTTCTGTTTCTTTTCTCACATTTCTCGATTCTGAAGTTTCTTCCTGTTTCTTTTCATTTCTCGATTCTAGAAGTTTCTTCCTGTTTCTTTTCTTTTCTCGATTCTAAAGTTTCTTCCTGTTTCTTTTCTCACATTTCTCGATTCTAGAAGTTTCTTCCTGTTTCTTTTCTCACATTTCTCGATTCTAGAATTTCTTCCTGTTACTTTCTCACATTTCTCGATTCTAGAAGTTTCTTCCTGTTTCTTTTCTAATTTCTCGATTCTGAAGTTTCTTCCTGTTTCTTTTCTCATTTCTCGATTCTCGATTCTAGAAGTTTCTTCCTGTTTCTTTTCTCATATTTCTCGATTCTAGAAGTTTCTTCCTGTTTCTTTTCTCACATTTCTCGATTCTAGAAGTTTCTTCCTGTTTCTTTTCTCATATTTCTCGATTCTAGAAGTTTCTTCCTGTTTCTTTTTTCTCATTTCTCGATTCTAGAAATTTCTTCCTGTTTCTTTCTCGATTTCTCGATTCTAGAAGTTTCTTCCTGTTTCTTTTCTCATTTCTCGATTCTAGAAGTTTCTTCCTTTTCTTTTCTCACATTTCTCGATTCTATTCTTCTGTTTTTCTTCACATTTCTCGATTCTAGTTTTTCTTCTTTTTTTCTGTTTCTTTATTTTTTCACATTTCTCGATTCTGTTTCTTCCTGTTTCATTTTTCTCATATTTCTCGATTCTAGAGGTTTCTTCCTGTTTCTTTTCTCATTTCTCGATTCTAGAAAGTTTCTTCCTGTTCTTTTCTCACATTTCTCGATTCAAAGTTTCTTCCTGTTTCTTTTCTCATTCTAGATTTCTCGTTTCTTTTCTCACATTTCTCCGTTTCTCACATTTCTCGATTCTAGAAGATTCTTCCTGTTTCATTTCTCACATTTCTCGATTCTAGAAGTTTCTTCCTGTTTCTTTTCTCACATTTCTCGATTCTAGAAGTTTCTTCCTGTTCCTTTTCTCACATTTCTCGATTCTAGAAGTTTCTTCCTGTTTCTTTTCTCACATTTCTCGATTCTAAGTTTCTTCTGTTCTTTTCTCCAGTTTTTCTCGATTCTAGAAGTTTCTTCCTGTTTCATTTTCATTTCTCGATTCTAGATTTCTTCCTGTTTCTTTTCTCACATGTCTCGATTCTAGAAGTTTCTTCCTGTTTCTTTTCTCACATTTCTCGATTCTAGAAGTTTCTTCCTGTTTCTTTTCTCATATTTCTCGAATCTTGAAGTCTCTTCCTGTTTCTTTTCTCACATTTCTCGATTCTGGAAGTTTCTTCCTGATTCTTTTCTCATATTTCTCGATTCTAGAAGATTCTTCCTTTTCTTTTCTCAGAGTTTAAAAGTTTCTTCCTGTTTCTTTTCTCATTTCTCGATTCTAGAAGTTTCTTCCTGTTTCTTTTCTCATATTTCTCGATTCTAGAAGTTTCTTCCTGTTTCTTTTCTCACATTTCTCGATTCTGGAAGTTTCTTCCTGTTTCTTTTCTCATATTTCTCGATTCTAGAAGATTCTTCCTGTTTCTTTTCTCACATTTCTCGATTCTAGAAGTTTCTTCCTGTTTCTTTTCTCATATTTCTCGATTCTTTCTTCCGTTTCTTTTCTATTTCTCGATTCTAGAGTTTCTTCCTGTTTCTTTTCTCATTTCTCGATTCTAGAAGTTTCTTCCTGTTTCTTTTCTCCATTTCTCGATTCTAGAAGTTTCTTCCTGTTTCTTTTTTTCTCGATTCTAGAAGTTTTCTTTACGGTTTTCTTTTCTCGATTCTAGAAGTTTCTTCCTGTTTCTTTTCCATTTTCTCGATTCTAGAAGTTTCTTCCTGTTTCTTTTCTCTCGATTCTAGAAGTTTCTTCCTGTTCATTTTCTCACATTTCTCGATTCTAGAGTTTTCTTCCTGTTTCTTTTCTCATTTCTCGATTCTGAAGTTTCTTCCTGTTTCTTTTCTCCCATTTCTCGATTCTAGAAATTTCTTTTTCTTTTCTCCCATTTCTCGATTCTAGAAGTTTCTTCTTCCTTTTCTCATTTCTTTCTGAACAGTTTCTTCGATTCTCGAATTTTCTTCCTGTTTCTTTTCTCCATTTCTCGATTCTAGAAATTTCTTCCGTTTCTTTTCTCACATTTTCTCGATTCTGATTTCTTCCTGTTTCTTTTCTCATTTCTCGATTCTAAGTTTCTTCCTGTTTTTTTTCTCCATATTTCTCGATTTTAGAAGATTCTTCCTGTTTCTTTTCTGTTCTCGATTCTTTCTTCCTGTTCCTTTTCTCACATTTCTCGATTCTAGAAATTTCTTCCTGTTTCTTTTCTCATTTTTCTCGATTCTAGAAGTTTCTTCCTGTTTCTTTTTCTCACATTTCTCGATTCTAGAAGTTTCTTCCTGTTTCTTTTCTCATTTCTCGATTCTAGAAGTTTCTTCCTGTTTCTTTTCTCCACATTTCTCGATTCTAGAAGTTTCTTCCTGTTTTCTTTTCTTTTCTCGATTCTACAGGTTTCTTCCTGTTTTCTTTTTTCATTTCTCGATTCTAGAAGTTTTCTTCCTGTTTCTTTTTCATATTTCTCATTCTTTCTCCATTTTCTTGAAGTTTCTTCCTGTTTCTTTCTCATGTTCTCGATTCTTTCTTTTTCTTTTTTCACATTTCTCGAAGAAGTTTCTTCCTGTTTCTTTTCTCACATTTCTCGATTCTAGAAGTTTCTTCCTGTTTCTTTTCTCACATTTCTCGATTCTAGAAGTTTCTTCCTGTTTCTTTTCTCCATTTTCTCGATTCTGTTTCTTCCTGTTTCTTTTCTCACATTTCTCGATTCTAGAAAGTTTCTTCCTGTTCCTTTTTCTCACATTTCTCGATTCTAGAATTTTCTTCCTGTTTCTTTTCTCACATTTCTCGATTCTAGAAGTTTCTTCCTGTTTCTTTTCTCACATTTCTCGATTCTAGAAGTTTCTTCCTGTTTCTTTTCTCACATTTCTCGATTCTAGAAGTTTCTTCCTGATTCTTTTCTCATATTTCTCGATTCTAGAAGTTTCTTCCTGTTACTTTTCTCACATTTCTCGATTCTTTTCTTCCTGTTTCTTTTCTCCATTTTCTCGAATCTTCACAGTTTCTTCCTGTTTTTTTTTCACATTTCTCGATTCTAGAAGTTTCTTCCTGTTTCTTTTCTCACATTTCTCGATTCTAGAATTTTCTTCTTTTTCTTTTCTCCCATTTCTCGATTCTAGAAGTTTCTTCCTGTTTCTTTTCTCCCATTTCTCGATTCTAGAAGTTTCTTTTTCCTCGATTCTTCTGTTTCTTTTCTCATATTTCTCGATTCTAGAAGTTTCTTCCTGTTTCTTTTCTCACATTTCTCGATTCTAGAAGATTCTTCCTGTTTCTTTTCTCACATTTCTCATTCTAGAAATTTCTTCTGTTTCTTTTCTCACATTTCTTGAAGTTCCTTCCTGTTTCATTTCTCATATTTCTCGATTCTAGAAGTTTCTTCCCTGTTTCTTTTCTCACATTTCTCGATTCTAGAAGTTTCTTCCTGTTCCTTTTTCTCCACATTTCCGATTCTAGAATTTTCTTCCTGTTTTTTTCACATTTCTCGATTTCTAGAAGTTTCTTCCTGTTTCTTTTCTCCCACATTTCTCGATTCTAGAAGTTTCTTCCTGTTTCTTTTCTCACATTTTCTCGATTCTAGAAGTTTCTTCCTGTTTCTTTTCCATTTCTCGATTCTGAAGTTTTTCCTGTTCATTTTCACATTTCTCGATTCTCGTAGTTTCTTCCTGTTTCATTTCTAAGTTTCTTCCTGTTTCTTTTCTCACATTTCTCGATTCAGAAGTTCTTCCTGTTTCTTTTTTCTCGATTCTAGAAGTTTTCTTCCTGTTTCTTTTCACATTTCTCGATTCTAGAAGTTTCTTCCTGTTTCTTTTCTTCATTTCTCGATTCTAGAAGTTTCTTCCTGTTTCTTTTCTCACATTTCTCGATTCTAGAAGTTTCTTCCTGTTCTTTTCTCACATTTCTCGATTCTAGATGTTCCTTCCTGTTTCTTTTCTCATATTTCTCGATTTTCCCGATTCTAAGTTTCTTCCTGTTTCTTTTCTCCATATTTCTCGATTCTATTTTTTTCTTCCTTTTTTTTTCTCATTTCTCATTCTGAGTTTTCTTCCTGTTTCTTTTCTCACATTTCTCGATTCTAAGTTTCTTCCCTTTTTCTTTTCTCATTTCTCGATTCTAGAAGATTCTTCCTGTTTCTTTTCTCCATATTTCTCGATTCAAGTTTCTTCCTGTTTCTTTTCTCACATTTCTCGATTCTAGAGTTTCTTCCTGTTTCTTTTCTCACATTTCTCGATTCTAGAAATTTCATTTCTCGATTCAAAAGTTTTCTTCTGTTTTTTCTCACATTTCTCGATTCTAAGTTTCTTCCTTTTCTTTTCTCACATTCTCGATTCTAGAAGTTTTCTTCCTGTTTCTTTTCTCATATTTCTCGATTCTAGAAGTTTCTTCCTGTTTCTTTCTCACATTTCTCGATTCTAGAATTCTTTCTTCCTGTTTTCTTTTCTTTTCTCACATTTCTCGATTCTAGAAGTTTCTTCCTTTTTCTTTTCACATTTCTCGATTCTAGATGTTACTTTTTCTTCCTGATTTTCTTTTCTCACATTTCTCGATTCTAGAAGTTTCTTCCTGTTTCTTTTCTCATTTCTCGATTCTAGAAGATTCTTCCTTTCATTTTTCTCATTTCTCGATTCTAGAAGTTTCTTCCTGTTTTCTTTTCTCACATTTCTCGATTCTAGAAGTTTCTTCCCTGTTCCTTTTCTCATATTTCTCGATTCTAGAAAGTTTCTTCCTGTTTCTTTTTCTTTTCTCATATTTCTCGATTCTAGAAAGATTCTTCCTGTTTCAGTTCTTTCTTTTTTCTCATATTTCTCGATTCTTTCTCTTCTGTTTTCTTTTCTCATTTCTCGATTCTAAAGTTTCTTCCTGTTTCTTTTCTCCACATTTCTCGATTCTAGAAGTTTCTTCCTGTTTCTTTTCTCCATTTCTCGATTCTGAAGTTTCTTCTGTTTCTTTTCTCATTTCTCGATTCTAGAAGTTTTTTCTGTTTCATTTCTCATATTTCTCGATTCTAGAAGATTACTTCCTGTTTCTTTTCTCACATTTCTCGATTCTAGAAGTTTCTTCCTGTTCTTTTTTCTTTCGATTCTAGAAGTTTCTTCCTTTCTTTTCTCCATTCTATTCTAGAAGATTCTTCCTGTTTCTTTTCTCACATTTCTCGATTCTAGAATTTTCTTCCTGTTTCTTTTCTCACATTTCTCGAATTCTGAAGTTTCTTCCTGTTTCTTTTCTCACATTTTCTCGATTCTAGAAGTTTTTCTTTTCATTTTTCTCACATTTCTCGATTCTAGAAGTTTCTTCCTGTTTCTTTTCTCCATGTTTCTCGATCTAGAAGATTTCTTCCTGTTTCATTTCTCACATTTCTCGATTCTAGAGTTTCTTCCTTTCTTCCTGTTCTCGATTCTTTTTCTCACATTTCTCGATTCTAGAAGTTTCTTCCTGTTCTTTTCTCACATTTCTCGATCTAGAAGTTTCTTCCTGTTTCTTCTTCCTCATTCTCACATTTCTCGATTCTAGAAGTTTCTTCCTGTTTCTTTTCTCCACATTTTCTCGATTCTAGAAGTTTCTTCCTGTTTCTTTCTCCACATTTCTCGATTCTAGAAGTTTCTTCCTGTTTCTTTTCTCACATTTCTCGATTCTAGAGTTTTCTTCCTGTTTCTTTTCTCACATTCTCGATTCTAGATTTTTCTTCCTGTTTTTCTTTTCTCATATTTCTCGATTCTCGAAGTTTCTTCCTGTTTCTTTTCTCATTTCTCGATTCTGGAAGTTTCTTCCTGTTTCTTTTCTCACATTTCTCGATTCTGGAAGTTTCTTCCTGTTTCTTTTCTCCATTTCTCGATTCTGAAGTTTCTTCCTGTTTCTTTTCTCATTTCTCGATTCTAGAATTTCCTGTTTCTTTTTCTTCCTGTTTCTTTTCTCTTATTTCTCGATTCTATTTCTCGATTCTAGAGTTTCTTCCTGTTTTTTCTTTTCTCGATTCAGTTTTTCTCGATTCTAGAAGATTTCTTCCTGTTTCTTTTCTCATTTCTCTCCGATTCTGGAAGTTTCTTCCTGTTTCTTTTCTCACATTTCTCGATTCTAGAGTTTCTTCCTGTTTCTTTTCTCCACATTTCTCGATTCTAGATTTTTCTTCCTTTTTCTTTTCTCATTTCTCGATTCTAGAAGATTCTTCCTGTTTGTTTCTTTTCTCGATTCAGTTTCTTTTTTTCATTTCTCATTTCTCGATTCATTTTCCTCGTTTCTCAAATTTCTCATTTTCTCGAATCTAAGTTTTCCTGTTTCTTTTCTCACATTTCTCGATTCTAGAAGTTTCTTCCTGTTTTCTTTTCTCATTTCTCGATTCTAGAAGTTTCTTCCTGTTTCTTTTTCTCACATTTCTCAATTCTGAAGTTTCTTCCTGATTTTTCTCCATTTCTCGATTCTAGAAGTTTCTTCCTGTTTCTTTTCTCACATTTCTCGATTCTGGAATTTTCTTCCTGTTTCTTTTCTCCCATTTCTCGATTCTAGAAGTTTCTTCCTGTTTCTTTCTCACATTTCTCGATTCTAAGTTTCTTCCTGTTTCTTTTCTCATATTTCTCGATTTAGAAAATTTCTTCCTGTTTCTTTTCTCATTTCTCGATTCTAATGTTTCTTCCTGTTTTCTTTTCTCACATTTCTCGATTCTAGAAGTTTCTTCCCTTTTCTTTTCTCACATTTTCTCGATTCTAGAAATTTCTTCCTTTTTCTTTTCTCCATTTCTCGATTCTAGAAGATTCTTCCTGTTTCTTTTCTCATTTCTCGATTCTAGAATTTTCTTCCTGTTTCTTTTCTCATATTTTCTTCTTGGAAGTTTCTTCCTGTTTCTTTTCTCACATTTCTCGATTCTGGAAGTTTCTTCCTGATTCTTTTCTCATGTTTCTCGATTCTAGAAGATTCTTCCTGTTTCTTTTCACATTTCTCGATTCTAGGATTTCTTCCTGTTTCTTTTTTCTCATTCATTTCTCGATTCTAGAAATTTCTTCCTGTTTCTTTTCTCCACATTTCTCGATTCTAGAAGTTTCTTCCTGTTTCTTTTCTCACATTTCTCATTCTAGAAGTTTCTTCCTGTTTCTTTTTTTCTCGATTCTAGAAATTTCTTCCTGTTTCTTTTCTCACATTTCTCGATTCTAGAAGTTTCTTCCTGTTTCTTTTCTCACATTTCTCGATTCTAGAAGTTCTTCTGTTTCTTTTTTTCACATTTCTCGATTTAGAATTTCTTCCTGTTTCTTTTCTCACATTTCTCGATTCTGAATTTTTCTTCCTGTTTCTTTTCTCACATTTCTCATTTCTCCGATTCTAGATTCTCGATTCAAAGTTTCTTCCTGTTCTTTTCTCATTTCTCGATTCTAGAAGTTTCTTCCTGTTTCTTTTCTCACATTTCTCGATTCTAGAAGTTTCTTCCTGTTTCTTTTCTCCGTTTTCTCGATTCTTTCTTCCTGTTTCTTTTCTCATTTCTCTAGAAATTTCTTCCTGTTTCTTTTTTCATTTTCGATTCAATTTCTTCCTGTTTCTTTTCTCATTTCTCGATTCTAGAAGTTTTCTTCCTGTTTCTTTTCTCACATTTCTCGATTCTTGAAGTTTTCTTCCTGTTTCTTTTCTCATATTTCTCGATTTTTGAAGTTTCTTCCTGTTTCTTTTCTCACATTTCTCGATTCTAGAATGTTTCTTCCTGATTCTTTTCTCATTTTTCTCGATTCTAGAAAATTCCTGTTTCTTTTCACATTTCTCGATTCTAGAAATTTCTTCCTTTTCTTTTCTTCACTGTTTCATTTCTCCGATTCTAGAAGATTCTTCCTGTTTCTTTTCTCCACATTTCTCGATTCTAGAAGTTTCTTCCTGTTCCTTTTCTCTTTCTCATTCTAGAGATTTCTTCCCTTTTCTTTTCTCTTTGTATCTCGATTCTAGAATATTCTTCCCTGTTTCTTTTCTCACATTTCTCGATTCTAGAAGTTTCTTCCTGTTTCTTTTCTCACATTTTCTCGATTCTAGAGATTTCTTCCTCCCTGTTTCTTTTCTCATATTTCTCGATTCTAGAAGTTTCTTCCTGTTTCTTTTCTCACATTTCTCGATTCTAGAAGTTTCTTCCTGTTTCTTTTCTCATATTTCTCGATTCTAGAGTTTCTTCCTGATTCTTTTCTCCTTATTTCTCGATTCTAGAAGATTCTTTTCACATTTTCTCGATTCTAGAGGTTTCTTCCTTTTCTTTTCTCTTTTCTCGATTCTAGAGTTTTCTTCCCTGTTTTCTTTTCTCACATTTCTCGATTCTAGAAATTTCTTCCTGTTTCTTTCTCCTTATTTCTCGATTCTAGAAGTTTCTTCCTGTTTTCTTTTCTCACATTTCTCGATTCTAGGATTTCTTCCTGTTTTCTTTTCTCATATTTCTCGATTTTTAAGTTTCTTCCTGTTTCTTTTCTCACATTTCTCGATTCTAGAAGTTTCTTCCTGTTTCTTTTCTCTCATTTATTCTTCCTGTTACTTTTACACATTTCTCGATTCTTCGTTCTTTTCTATTTCTCGATTCTAGTTTCTTCCTGTTTCTTTTCTCACATTTCTCGATTCTAGATTTTCTTCCTTTTTCATTTTCTCATATTTCTCGATTCTCAGTTTCTTCCTGTTTCTTTTCTCATTTCTCGATTCTAGAAGTTTCTTCCTGTTTCTTTTCTCCATTTCTCGATTCTAGAAGTTTCTTCCTGTTTCTTTTCTCACATTTCTCGATTCTAGAAATTTCTTCCTGTTCTTTCTCTCATTCTTCCTGTTTTCATTTCTCGATTCTAGAAGTTTCTTCCTGTTTCTTTTCTCACATTTCTCGATTCTAAGTTTCTTCCTGTTTCTTTTCTCACATTTTCTCGAGATCTTGAAGTTTCTTCTGTTTCTTTTCTCACATTTCTCGATTCTACAAGATTCTTTTCTCATATTTCTCGATTCTTTCTTCCATTTACTCACACATTTCTCGATTCTAGAGTTTCTTCCTGTTTTCTTTTCTCACATTTCTCGATTCTATTACTCGATTTCTTCCTGTTTCTTTTCTCACATTTTCGATTCATTCTTCCTGTTTTTCATTTCTCATTTCTCGATTCGAAGTTTCTTTTTCTTTTCACATTTCTCGATTCTAGAAATTTCTTCCTGTTCCTTTTCTCACATTTCTCGATTCTAGAAAATTCTTCCTGTTTCATTTCTCACATTCTCTCGATTCTAGAATTTCTTCTGTTTCTTTCTCATTTTGATTCTAGAGATTTCTTCCTGTTCATTTCATTTTCTCACATTTCTCGTTTCTAGAAGTTTCTTCCTGTTTCTTTTCTCGTTTCTCGTTTCTTCTTTCTTTTTCCCATTTCTCGATTCTGATATTTTCTTCCTGTTTTTCTTTTCTCACATTTCTCGATTCTAGAAGTTTCTTCCTGTTTCTTTTTCTTGAAGTTTCTTCTGTTTTCTTTTCTCCATTTCTCCCGATTCTAGAAGTTTCTTCCTTTTCTTTTCTCATATTTCTCGATTCTAGAAATTCTTCCTGTTACTTTTCTCACATTTCTCGATTCTAAGTTTCTTCTGTTCTTTTTCATATTTCTCGATTCTAGGGTTTCTTCCTGTTTCTTTTTTTCACATTTCTCGATTCTAGAAGTTCTTTTCTCATTTCTTCCTGTTTCTTTTCTCTCCATTTCTCGATTCTAGAAGATTCTTACTTCCTGTTTCTTTTCTCACATTTCTCGATTCTAGAAGTTTCTTCCTGTTTTCTTTTCTCGCATTTCTCGATTCTAGTTTTCTTCCCTTTTTCTTTTCTCATATTTCTCGATTCTAGAAGATTCTTCCTGTTACTTTTCTCACATTTTCTCGATTCTAGAAGTTTCTTCCTTTTCTTTTCATTTCTCGATTCTAGAAGTTTCTTCCTTTTTTCTTTTCTCATTTTCTCGATTCTAGAAGTTTCTTCCTGTTTCTTTTCACATTTCTCGATTCTAGAAGTTTCTTCCTGTTTCTTTTCTTTCTCAGTTTCTTCCTGTTTCTTTTCTCATTTCTCGATTCTAGAAATTTTCTTCCTGTTTCTTTTCTCCACATTTCTCGATTCTAAAATTTCTTCCTGTTTCTTTTTCTCATTTCTCGATTCTAAAAGTTCCTTCCTGTTTCTTTTCTCATATTTCTCGATTCTTGAAGTTTCTTCCTGTTTTTTCTCATTTCTCGAATCTTGTTTCTTCAATTCTTTTCTCCATATTTCTCGATTCTGGAAGTTTCTTCCTGATTCTTTTCTCACATTTCTCGATTCTAGAAATTTCTTCCTGTTTCTTTTCTCACATTCTCTTAGAAGATTCTTCCGTTTTCTTTTCTCATTTCTCGAGATTCTTCCTGTTTCTTTTCTCACATTTCTCGATTCTAGAAGTTTCTTCCTGTTTCTTTTCTCACATTTTCTCGATTCTAGAAGTTTCTTCCTGTTTCTTTTCTCACATTTCTCGATTCTAGAAGTTTCTTCTTTTCTTTTCTCACATTTTCTCGATTCTAATTTCTCGATTTTCTCGTTCTAGAGATTCTTCCTGTTTCTTTTCTCTCACATTTTCTCGATTCTAGAAGTTTCTTCCTGTTTCTTTTCTCATATTTCTCAAATCTTTCTTCCCATTTTCTCGATTCTTTTCTTCCTGTTTCTCTTTTCTCATGTTTCTCGAATTCTAAGTTTCTTCCTGTTACTTTTCTCACATTTCTCGATTCTAGAAGTTTCTTCCTGTTTCTTTTCTCATATTTCTCTCGATTCTAGAGTTTTCTCCTTTTCTTTTCTCATTTCTCGATTCTAGGTTTCTTCCTGTTCTTTTCCTGTTTCTTTTCTCATTTTTCTCTTTTCTCATTTATAAGAATTTCTTCCTGTTTCTTTTCTCATTTCTCGATTCTTTCTTCCTGTTTCATTTCTCACATTTCTCGAAGTTTCTTCCTGTTTCTTTTCTCACATTTCTCGATTCTAGGGTTTCTTCCTGTTTCTTTTCTCATTTCTCGATTCTGAAGTTTCTTCCTGTTCTTTTCTCATATTTCTCGATTCTTGAGTTTCTTCCTGTTTATTTTCTCACATTTCTCGATTCTAGTTTCTTCCTGTTTCTTTTTTTCATTTTTCGATTCTGTTTTCTTTTTTTCACATTTCTCGATTCTAGAAGTTTCTTCCTGTTTCTTTTCATTTCTCTTTTCTCGATTCTAGAAGTTTCTTCCTGTTTCTTTTCTCACATTTCTCGATTCTAGAAGTTTCTTCCTGTTTCTTTTCATTTCTCGATTCTGTTTCTTCCTTTCTTTTCTCATTTCTCGATTCTAGAAGTTTCTTCCTGTTTCTTTTCTCACATTTTCTCGATTCTTCTGTTACTTTTTCTTCCTGTTTTCTTTTCTCACATTTCTCGATTCTAGAAGTTTCTTCCTGTTTCTTTTCTCATTTCTCGAGTTTCTTCCTGTTTCTTTTCTCCATTTCTCGATTCTAAGTTTCTTCCTGTTTCTTTTCTCACATTTCTCGATTCTAGAGTTTCTTCCTTTTTCTTTTCTCACATTTCTCTCGATTCTGGAAGTTTCTTCCTATTTTCTTTTCTCACATTTTTCTCGATTCTAGAAATTTCTTCCCTTTTCTTTTCTCCATTTTCTCGATTCTAAGTTTCTTCCTGTTTCTTTTCTCATTTCTCGATTCTAGAAGTTTTCTTCCTGTTTCTTTTCTCACATTTCTCGATTCTAGAATATGTTTCTTTTCTCACAAAGTTTCTTCTGTTTCTTTTCTCATTTCTCGATTCTAGAAGATTCTTCCTGTTTCTTTCTCACATTTTCTCGATTCTGAAGTTTCTTCCTGTTTCTTTTCTCATATTTCTCGATTCTAGAATTTCTCGATTCTTTCTTCCTGTTTCTTTTCTCACATTTCTCGATTCTAGAAGTTTCTTCCTGTTTCTTTTCTCACATTTCTCGATTCTAGAATTTTCTTCCTGTTTCTTTTCTCATTTCTCGATTCTAGAAGTTTTCTTCCTGTTTCTTTTCTCACATTTCTCGATTCTAGGTTTCTTCCTGTTTCTTTTCTCACTTTTCTCGATTCTGAAGTTTCTTCCTGTTTCTTTTCTCACATTTCTCCGATTCTAGAAGTTTCTCCCTGTTTCTTTTCTCACATTTCTCGATTTTGAGATTTCTTCCCTGTTTCTTTTCTCCATTTCTCGATTCTAGAAGTTTTCTTCTTCCTTTTCTTTTCTCGATTCTATTTCTCGATTCTCGATTCCTAAATTTCTTCCTTTTTCTTTTTCTCACATTTTCTCGATTCTAGAAGATTCTTCCTGTTCTTTTCTCACATTTCTCGATTCTAGAAGTTTTCTTCCTGTTTCATTTTCTCACATTTCTCGATTCTAGAAGTTTCTTCCCTGTTTCTTTCTCATTTCTCTCGATTCGGTTCTTCCTGTTTCTTTTCTCATTTCTCGATTCTAGAAGTTTCTTCCTGTTTCTTTTCTCACATTTCTCGATTTTGAAAGTTTCTTCCTGTTTCTTTTCTCATTCATTTCTCGATTCTAGAAGTTTCTTCCTGTTTCTTTTCTCACATTTCTCGATTTCTCGAAATTTCTTCCTGTTTCTTTTCTCACATTTCTCGATTCTAGAAGATTTCTTCCTGTTTCTTTTCTCACATTTCTCGATTCTAAGTCTTCCTTTTCTTCCTGTTTCTTTTCTCATATTTCTCGATTCTTGAAGTTTCTTCCTGTTTCTTTTCTCACATTTCTCGATTCTAGAGTTTTCTTCCTGATTCTTTTCTCCATATTTCTCAGTTCTGAAAATTCTTCCTGTTTCTTTTCTCCATTTTCTCGATTCTAAAGTTTCTTCCTGTTTCTTTTCTCATATTTCTCGATTCTAGAATTCTTCCTGTTTCTTTTCATTTTCTCGATTCTAGAGTTTCTTCCTGTTTCATTTCTCATATTTCTCGATTCTAGAAGTTTCTTCCTGTTTTCTTCATTTCTTTTTCATTTTCTGTTTCATTTCTCCATTTCTCGATTCTAGAATTTTCTTCCTGTTTCTTTTCTCATTCATTTCTCGATTCTAGAATTTCTTCCTGTTTCTTTTCTCCATTTCTCGATTCTATTCTCTCGAGGTTTTCTTCCTGTTTCTTTTCTCCCATTTCTCGATTCTAGAAGTTTCTTCCTGTTTCTTTTCTCCACATTTCTCGATTCTAGAAGTTTCTTCCTGTTTCTTTCTCCTTTCTCTCGATTCTAGAAGATTCTTTTCTTCCTGTTTCATTTTCTCACATTTCTCGATTCTAGAAGTTTCTTCCTGTTTCTTTCTCACATTTCTCGAATCTAAGTTTCTTCCTATTTCTTTTCTCACATTCTCTCGATTCTAGAAGTTTCTTCTGTTTCTTTTCTCATTTCTCGATTCTAAGAAATTTCTTCCTGTTTCTTTTCTCACATTTCTCATTCTGAAGTTTCTTCCTGTTTCTTTTCTCACATTTCTCGATTCTAGAAGTTTTCTTCCTGTTTCTTTTCTCATTTCTCGATTCTAGAAATTTCTTCCTGTTTCTTTTCTCACATTTCTCGATTCTAGAAGTTTCTTCCTGTTTCTTTTCTTTTCTCGATTCTAAAGTTTCTTCCTGATTTCTCGATCTTGAGTTTTCTTCCTGTTTCTTTTCTCATATTTCTCGATTCTAGAAGTTTTCTTCCTGTTTCTTTTCTCCACATTTCTCGATTCTAGAAGTTTCTTCCTGTTTCTTTTCTCACATTTCTCGATTCTAGAAGTTTCTTCCTGTTTCTTTTTCTTTTCTCGATTCTAGAATTTCTTCCTGTTCATTTTCTCGATTTTCTCTAGAAGTTTCTTCCTGTTTCTTTTCTCCATTTCTCGATTCTAGAAGTTTCTTCCTGTTTCTTTTCTCACATTTCTCGATTCTGGAGATTTCTTCCTGTTTTCTTTTCTCACATTTCTCGATTCTAGAAATTTCTTCCTGTTTCTTTTCTCACATTTCTCGATTCTAGAGTTTTCTTCCTGTTTCTTTTCTCATTTCTCATTCTAGAAGTTTCTTCCTGTTTCTTTTCTCTATTTTCTCGATTCTAGAAGTTTCTTCCTGTTTCTTTTCTCCCATTTCTCGATTCTAGAAGTTTCTTCCTGTTTCTTTTCTCATATTTCTCGATTCTAGAATTTTCTTCCTGTTTCTTTTCTCATTTCTCTCATTCTCGAAGTTTCTTCCTGTTTCTTTTCTCACATTTCTCGATTCTAGAAGTTTCTTCCTGTTTCTTTTCTCACATTTCTCGATTCTCAGAAAATTCTTCCTGTTTCTTTTCTCATATTTCTCGATTTTAGAAGTTTCTTCCTTTTCTTTCATTTCTCGATTCTGTTTCTTCTTTCTTTTCTCACATTTTCTCGATTCTGAAGTTTCTTCCTTTTCTTTTCTCACATTTCTCGATTCTAGAAATTTCTTCCTGTTTCTTTTCTCACATTTCTCGATTCTAGAAGTTTCTTTTTCTTCCTGTTTCTTTTCTTCTCATTTCTCGATTCTTTCTTCCTGTTTCTTTTCTCACATTTCTCTGTTTTCTTCCTGTTCATTTTCTCATATTTCTCGATTCTAGAAGTTTCTTCCTGTTTCTTTTCTCACATTTTCTCGATTCTGTTTATTTTCTCACATTTCTTCCCTGTTTCTTTTCTCACATTTCTCGATTCTAGAAAGTTTCTTCCTGTTCCTTTTCTCATTTCTCGATTCTAGTTTTTTCTTCCTGTTTCTTTTCTCCACATTTCTCGAGAAGTTTCTTCCCTTTTTCATTTCTCGATTCATTTCTTCTGTTTCTTTTCTCACATTTTCTAGAAGTTTCTTCCTGTTTCTTTTCTCACATTTCTCGATTCTAGAAGTTTCTTCCTGTTTCTTTTCTCCACATTTCTCGATTCTAGAGTTTTCTTCCTTTTTCTTTTCTCACATTTCTCGATTCTGAAGTTTCTTCCTATTACTTTTTCTTCCTGTTTCTGTTTTTTCTCAATTTCTCGATTCTAATTTTCTTCCTGTTTCTTTTCTTTTTTCTCGATTCTAGAAGTTTCTTCCTGATTCTTTTTCTCACATTTCTCATTTCTTCTTTTTCTCATGAGTTTCTTCCTGTTTTCTTTTCTCATTTCTCGATTCTAGAAATTTCTTCCTGTTTCTTTTCTCTTATTTCTCGATTCTAGAAATTCTTCCTGTTTCTTCCTGTTTTTTTCATATTTCTCGATTCTGTTTCTTTTCATTTCTCGTTTTCTCTGTTCTTTTCTCGATTCTAGAAGATTCTTCCTGTTTCTTTTTTCCTGATTCTTTTCTCGATTCTAGAGATTCACATTTCTCGATTCTAGAAGTTTCTTCCTGTTTCTTTTCTCACATTTCTCGATTCTGGGGTTTCTTCCTGTTTCTTTTCTTTTCTCGATTCTATTTCTCGATTCTCGATTCTAGAAGTTTCTTCCTGTTTCTTTTCTCACACATTTCTCGATTCTAGAAATTTCTTCTGTTTCTTTTTCATTTCTCGATTCTAAAAGTTTCCTTTTCTTTTCTCACATTTCTCGATTCTAGAAGTTTCTTCCTGTTTCTTTTCTTTTCTCTTTTCTCTCATTTCTTTTCTCGTTTCTTTTTCTACATTTCTCGATTCTGAAGTTTCTTCCTGTTTCTTTTCTCCACATTTCTCGATTCTAGAAGTTTCTTCCTGTTTCTTTTCTCCACATTTTCTCGATTCTAGAGTTTCTTCCTGTTTTTTTTTCATTTCTCGATTCTGATTTCTTCCTGTTTCTTTTCACATTTCTCGATTCTGAAATTTCTTCCTTTTTCTTTTCTCACATTTCTCGATTCTAGAAGTTTCTTTCCTGTTTCTTTTCTCATATTTCTCGATTCTAGAAGTTTCTTCCTGTTTCTTTTCTCACATTTCTCGATTTTTGAAGTTTCTTCCTGTTTCTTTTCTTTTCTCGATTCTAGAAGTTTCTTCCTGTTTCTTTTCTTATATTTCTCGATTCTAGAAATTTCTTGTTTCTTTTCTCATTTTCTCGATTCTAGAAGTTTCTTCCTGTTTCTTTTCTCACATTTCTCGATTCTAGAGTTTCTTCCTGTTTCTTTTCTCATTTCTCGATTCTAGGAATTCTTCCTGTTTCTTTTCTCACATTTCTCGATTCTAGAAGATCTCTTCCTGTTTCTTTTCTCACATTTCTCGATTCTAAGTTTCTTCCTGTTTCTTTTTTTCTCACATTTCTCGATTCTAGAAAATTCTTCCTGTTTCTTTTCTCATTTCTCGATTCTGTTTCTTCCTGTTTCTTTTCTCACATTTCTCGATTCTAGAATTTCTTCCTGTTTCTTTTCTCATTTCTCGATTCTAGAAGTTTCTTCCTGTTTCTTTTCTCCCATTTCTCGATTCTAGAAGATTCTTCCTGTTTCTTTTCTCAAATTTCTCGATTCTAGAAGTTTCTTCCCTTTTTCTTTTCTTTCCTGTTTCTTCCTTTTCTTTTCTCACATTTCTCGATTCTAGAAGTTTCTTCCTTTTCTTTTCTCACATTTCGTTCGATTCTATTTCTCGATTCTAAATTCTTCTGTTTCATTTCTCACATTTCTCGATTCTAGAAGTTTCTTCCTTTTTCTTTCCTGTTTCTTTTCTCATTTCTCAAAGTTTTCTTCTAGAAAGTTTTCTTCTGTTTCTTTTCTCACATTTCTCGATTCTAGAAATTTTCTTCCTGTTTCTTTTCTCATATTTCTCGATTCTGAAATTTCTTCCTGTTTTCTTTTCTCATTTCTCGATTCTAGAAGTTTCTTCCTGTTTCTTTTTCTTCCTGTTTCTGTTTCTCACATTTCTCGATTCTAGAAGTTTCTTCCTGTTTCTTTTCTCATATTTTCTCGATTCTAGAAGTTTCCTTCCTGTTTCTTTTCTTCCTGTTTTTCTTTCTCACATTTCTCGATTCTAGAAGTTTCTTCCTGTTTCTTTTCTTTTCTCACATTTCTCGATTCTAGAAATTTCTTCTATTTTCTTTTTCACATTTCTCGATTCTCTTTTCTCATTTCTCGATTCTAAGTTTCTTCCTGTTTTCTTTTCTCACATTTCTCGATTCTAGAAAATTCTTCCTGTTTCTTTTCTCATTATTTCTCGATTTCTTGAAGTTTCTTCCTGTTTCTTTTCTCATTTCTTTCTAAGTTTCTTCCTGATTCTTGAAGTTTCTTCCTGTTTCTTTTCTCACATTTCTCGATTCTATTTCTCGATTTTCTTCCTGTTTCTTTTCTCACATTTTCTCGATTCTAGAGTTTTCTTCCTGTTTTTCTTTTCTCACATTTCTCGATTCTATGTTCTCGAGTTTCTTCCTGTTTCTTTTCTCACATTATTTTCTCATAATTTTAGAAAGTTTCTTCCTGTTTCTTTCTTTTTCTCGATTCATTTCTCGATTCTAGAAGTTTCTTCCTTTTTCTTTCTCATTTCTCATTCTAGAATTTTCTTCCTGTTTCTTTTCTCACATTTCTCGATTTAGAAGTTTCTTCTGTTTCTTTTCACATTTCTCGATTCTAAGTTTCTTCCTGATTCTTTTTCTCACATTTCTCGATTCTGGAAAGTTCTTTTTCTTCGATTCTGTTTCTTTTCTCACATTTTCTCGATTCTAGGGTTTCTTCCCTGTTTTCTTTCTCCATATTTCTCGATCTTGAAGTTTCTTCCTGTTTCTTTTCTCCCATTTCTCGATTCTAGAAGTTTTCTTCCTGTTTCTTTCTCCACATTTCTCGATTCTAAAGTTTCTTCCTGTTTCTTTTCTCCATTTCTTCCCTGTTTCTTTTCTCATTTCTTCTAAGTTTCTTCCTGTTTCTTTTTCTCACATTTCTCATTTTAGAAATTTCTTCCTGTTTTCTCATATTTCTCGATTCTAGAATTTTTTCCTTTTTCTTTTTTCCTGATTCTTTTCTCACATTTCTCGATTCTAGAAGTTTCTTCCTGTTTCTTTTCTCGCATTTCTCGATTCTAGAATTTCTTCCTGTTTCTTTTTCCTTTTTCTTTTCTGTTTTCTTTTCTCCATTTTCTCGATTCTAAGTTTCTTCCTGTTTCTTTTCTCATTTCTCGATTCACAAGAGTTTCTTCCTGTTTCTTTTCTCACATTTCTCGATTCTCGAAGTTTCTTCCCTGTTTCTTTTCTCACATTTCTCGATTCTGAACTTTTCTTTTTCTCGATTCTAGAAGTTTCTTCCTGTTTCTTTTCTCATTTCTCATTTCTAGAGTTTCTTCCTGTTTCTTTTCTCACATTTCTCGATTCTGAAGTTTCTTCCTGTTTCTTTTCTCATTTCTCGATTCTAGAAGTTTCTTCCTGTTTCTTTTCTCACATTTCTCGATTCTAGAGTTTTCTTCCTGTTCTTTTTCTTTTCTCTTTTTCTTCCTGTTACTTTCACAGTTTCTTTTTCCTGTTTCTTTTCTCACATTTCTCGATTCTGAATTTTCTTCCTGTTTCTTTTTCTTCCTGAAATTTCTTCCTTTTCTTTTCTCATTTCTCGATTCTAGAAGATTCTTCCTGTTTCATTTCTCATTATTTCTCGATTCTAGAAGTTTCTTCTGTTTCTTTTCTCCATTTCTCGATTTCTTCCCTGTTTCTTTCTCTCATTTCTCGATTCTAGAGGTTTCTTCCTGTTTTTTTTCTCATATTTCTCGATTTCTAGAAGTTTCTTCCTTTTCTTTTCTCACATTTCTCGATTCTTGAATATTCTTTCTGTTTCTTTTCTCACATTTCTCGATTCTGAAGATTCTTCCTGTTTCTTTTCTCATTTCTCGATTCTAGATATTTCTTCCTGTTTCTTTTCTGACATTTCTCATTTCTGAGAATTTCTTCTGTTTCTTTCTCATTTTCTCGATTCTAGGGTTTCTTCCTGTTTCTTTTCTCATATTTCTCGATTCTTGAGAGTCTCTTTCTGTTTATTTTCTCACATTTCTCGATTCTGAAGTTTCTTCCTGTTCTTTCTTCTTTCTCTCAAGAAATTTCTTCCTTTTCTTTCTACATATCTCGATTCTAGAAATTCTTCTTTTTCTTTTCTTTTTTTCTCGATTCTAGGATTTCTTCCTGTTTCTTTTCTCACATTTCTCGATTCTAGAAGTTTTCTTCCTGTTTCTTTTTTCACATTTTCTCGATTCTAGATCTTGAAATTCTTCCTGTTTCATTTCTCATATTTCTCGATTCTAGAAGTTTCTTCTGTTTCTTTTTCTCATTTCTCGATTCTGAAGTTTCTTCCTGTTCTTTTCTCACATTTCTCGATTCTAGAAGTTTTCTTCCTTTTTCTTTTCTCAGATCATTTCTCAATTCTCGATTCTAGAAATTCTTCCTGTTTCTTTTCTCACATTTCTCGATTCTGAAGGTTTCTTCCTGTTTCTTTTCACATTTTCTCGATTCTAGAAGTTTTCTTCCTGTTTCTTTTCTCACGAATCTCGATTCTAGTTACTTTTTCTTCCTGTTCTGTTTCTCTCATTTCTCGATTCTAAGTTTCTTCCTGTTTCTCACATTTTCTCATGTTTCTCGATTCTAGATACTAAGTTTCTTCCTGTTTCTTTTCTCCCATTTCTCGATTCCTAAGTTTCTTCCTGTTTCTTTTCTCACATTTCTCGATTCTAGAAGTTTCTTCCTGTTTCTTTTCTCTTATTTCTCGATTCTAAAATTTTCTTCCTGTTTCTTTTCTCATTTCTCGATTCTAGAGATTTCTTCCTGTTTCTTTTCTCACATATTTCTGGAGATTCTTGAAATTCTTCCTTTTTCTTTTCTTCATTCTCATTCTGGAATTTTCGATTCTGTTTTCTTTTCTCATATTTCTCGATTCTAGAAAGATTCTTCCTGTTACTTTTCTTCGATTCTGGATTTTCTTCATTTCTTTTCTCACATTTCTCATTCTAGAATTCTTCTGTTCTTTTCTCATTTCTCCTAGAATTCTTCCTGTTTCATTTCTCATATTTCTCGATTCTAGAAGTTACTTCCTGTTTTCTTCTCACATTTTCTCGATTCTAGAAAATTTCTGGTTTTTCTTCCTGTTTTCTTTTCTCACATTTCTCGATTCTAGAAGATTCTTCCTGTTTCTTTTTCTCCACATTTCTCAATTCTAGAAGATTCTTCTTTTCTTTTCTCACATTTCTCGATTCTAGAAGTTTCTTCCTGTTTTCTTTTCTCACATTTCTCGATTCTATTCTAAAGTTTCTTCCTTTTCTTTTCTCACTTTTTTTTCTCCGATTCTAGAAGTTTCTTCCTGTTTCTTTTCTCACATTTTCTCATTTCTTCCTGTTTCTTCCTGTTTCTTTTCTCATATTTCTCGATTTTAGAGTTTCTTCCTGTTTCTTTTCTCACATTTCTCGATTCTAGAAGTTTCTTCCTGCTTTTTCTTTTCTCCATTTTCTCGATTCTAAGTTTTCTTCCTGTTCTTTTCTCCATTTCTCGATTCTAGAAAATATTTCTTCCTTTTCTTTTCTCACATTTCTCGATTCTAGAAGTTTCTTCCTGTTTCTTTTCTCACATTTCTCGATTCTAGAAGTTTTCTTCCTTTTCTTTTCTCACATTTCTCGATTCTAGAAGTTTCTTCCTGTTTCTTTTCTCACATTTCTCGATTTTAGAAATTTCTTCCTGTTTCTTTTCTCATTTCTCGATTCCAAGGTTTCTTCCTGTTTCTTTTCTCACATTTCTCGATTCTAGTTTCTTCCTTCCTTTTTCTTTTCTCGATGCTAAATTTCTTCAATCTTGTTTCTCTATTCTAAGTTTCTTCCTGTTTCTTTTCTCACATTTCTCATTCTAAAGTTTCTTCCTGTTTCTTTTCTCATTTCTCGATTCTAAATTTCTTCTGTTTCTTCCTGTTTCTTTTCTCTCCATTTCTCGATTCTAGATGTTTCTTCCTGTTTCTTTTCTTATTTCTCGATTCTGAAGTTTCTTCCTGTTTCTTTTCACATTTCTCGATTCTGGGATTTCTTCCTGTTTCTTTTCTCACATTTCTCCCGATTCTAGACATTTCTCTTCCTTTTCTTTTCTCTCATTTTTCTCGATTCTAGAAAATTCTTCCTGTTTCTTTTTCATTTCTGATTCTGAAGATTCTTTTTTCTCAAATTTCTCGATTCTAGAACTTCCTGTTTCTTTTCTTCCTGTTTCTTTTCTCATTTTTCTCGATTCTAGAAGTTTCTTCCTGTTTCTTTTTCTCATATTTCTCGATTCTAAGTTTCTTCCTGTTTCTTTTCTCATTTCCCGATTCTAGAAGTTTTCTTCCTGTTTCTTTTCTCCCACATTTTTCTCCTTTTCTTCCTGTTTCTTTTCTCCATTTCTCGATTCTAGTTTCTTCCTGTTTCTTTTCTCATTTCTCGATTCTAGAAGTTTCTTCCTGTTTTCATTTCTCACATTTCTCGATTCTAGAGATTTCTTCCCTGTTTTTTTTTCTCATTTCTCGATTTCTCGATTCTAGAGTTTTCTTCCCTGTTTCATTTCTCATTTCCTTAAATTTCTTCCTTTTCTTTTCTCATATTTCTCGATTCTAGGTTTCTTCCTGTTTCTTTTCCCACATTTCTCGATTCTAGAGGTTTTCTTCCCTGTTTCTTTTCTCACATTTCTCGATTCCCAAAAGTTCTTCCTGTTTCTTTTCTCATTTCTCGATTTCTAGAAGTTTCTTCCTGTTTCTTTTTCTCATTTCTCATTCATTCTTCCTGTTTCTTCCTGTTTCTTCCTGTTTCTTTTCTCATTTCTCGATTCATTTCTTCTTTTTTCTTTTTCTTCCTGTTTTCCTGTTTCTCTCATTTTCTCGATTCTAGAAGTTTCTTCCTGTTTCTTTTCTCACATTTCTCGATTCTATTCTAAGTTTCTTCCTGTTTCTTTTCTCATTTCTCGATTCTTGAAATTTCTTCCCCCTTTTTATTTTCTCTAGAAGTTTCTTCATTTCTCGATTCTAGAAGTTTCTTCCTGTTTCTTTTCTCATTTCTCGATTCTTGAAAGTTTCTTTTCTTCCTGTTTCTTTTCTCCATATTTCTCGATTCTAGTTTCTTCCTGTTTCTTTTCTCATTTTCTCGATTCTCTTTTCTTCCTGTTTTCTTTTCCATTTCTCGATTCTAGAAATTTCTTCCTTTTTTTCTTTTCTCATATTTCTCGATTCTAGAAGTTTCTTCCTGTTTTTCTTCCTGTTTCTTTTTCTCACATTTCTCGATTCTAGGAATTTCTTCCTGTTTTCTTTTCTCACATTTCTCGATTCTAGAAGTTTCTTCCTGTTTCTTTTTCATTTCTCATCGATTCTAGAAGTTTCTTCCTGTTTCTTTTCTCACATTTCTCGATTCTGAAGTTTCTTCCTGTTTCTTTTCTCATTTCTCGATTCTAGAAGTTTCTTCCTGTTTTCTTTTCTCATTTCTCGATTCTGGAAGTTTCTTCCTGTTTCTTTTCTCATATTTCTCGATTCTAGAAGTTTTCTTCCTGTTTCTTTTCTTTTCTCCTTATTTCTCGATTCTAGAAGTTTCTTCCTGTTTCTTTTTTCTTTTCTCATTTCTCGATTCTAGAAGTTTCTTCCTGTTTCTTTTCTCATTTCTCGATTCTAGAATTTTCTTCCCCTGTTTCTTTTCTCATATTTCTCGATTCTAGAAGATTCTTCCTGTTTCTTTTCTCTGCATTTTTCTCGATTCTAGAGTTTTCTTCCTGTTCCTTTTCTCCATTTCTCGATTCTAGAAGATTCTTCCTGTTCCTTTTCTCACATTTCTCGATTCTAGAAGTTTCTTCCTTTTTCTTTTCTCACATTTCTCGATTCTAGAAGATTCTTCCTGTTTCTTTTCTCACATTTCTCGATTCTAGAAGATTCTTCCTGTTTCTTTTCTCACATTTCTCGATTCTAGAAGTTTCTTCCTGTTTCTTTTCTCACATTTCTCGATTCTAGAAGTTTCTTCCTGTTTCTTTTCTCACATTTCTCGATTCTTAGGAGTTTCTTCCTGTTTATTTTCTCATGTTTCTTCCTGATGCTTTTCCTTAGAAGTTTCTTCCTGTTTCTTTTCTCGATTCTAGAGTTTCTTATATTTTTTTTTCTCCACATTTTCTCGATTCTAGGGTTTCTTCCTGTTTCTTTTCTCATATTTCTCGATTCTAGTTTTCTTCCTGTTTCTTTTCTACATTCTTTCTTCCTGTTTTTTTTCTCTCGAATCTTTTCTTCTGTTTCTTTCTCACATTTTCTTCCTTTCTTCTTTTCTTTTCTCATTTCTCGATTCTAGAAGTTTCTTTCCTGTTTCTTTTCTCATATTTCTCGATTCTAGAAATTTCTTCCTGTTTCTTTTCTCACATTTCTCGATTCTAGAGTTTCTTCCTGATTTTTCTTTTCTCACATTTCTCGATTCTAAATTTTCTTCCTTTTTCTTTCTTCCTTTTTCTTTTCTCACATTTCTCGATTCTAGAAGATTTCTTCTGTTTCTTTTTTCTCATTTCTCGATTCTAGAAGATTCTTCCTGTTTCTTTTCTCACATTTCTCGATTCTAGAATTTTCTTCCTGTTTCTTTTCTCACATTTCTCGATTCTAGAAAGTTTCTTCCTGTTTCTTTTCTTTTTCGGTGTTCAAAATTTCTTCTGTTTTCTTTTCTCATTTCTCATTCTAGAAATTTTTCCTGTTTCTTTTCTCCATTTCCTCATTCTAGAAGTTTTCTTCCTGTTTCTTTTCTCACATTTCTCCGATTCTAGAAGTTTCTTCCTGTTTCTTTTCTCACATTTCTCGATTTTAAATTTCTTCCTTTTCTTTTCTCATATTTCTCATTCAAATTTCTTTTCATTCTATTTCTCGATTCAAAGTTTCTTCCTGTTTCTTTTCTCACATTTCTCGATTCTAGAAATTTCTTCCTGTTTCTTTTCTCACATTTCTCGATTCTAGAAAATTCATTTTTGTTTCTTTTCTCACATTTCTCGATTCTAGAAGTTTCTTCCTTTTCTTTCTCATTTTCTCGATTCTAGAAGTTTTATTTTTCTTCCTGTTTCTTTTTCTCCATTTCTCGATTCTAAATTTCTTCCTTTTCTTTTTCTCATTTCTCGATTCTAAAGTTTCTCCCTGTTTCTTTTCTCATTTCTCGATTCTAGAAGATTCTTCCTGTTTCTTTTCTCATTTCATTTCTCTGTTTCTTTTCTAGAGATTTCTTCCTGTTTCTTTTCTCACATTTCTCGATTCTAGAAGTTTCTTCCTTTTTCTTTTCTCTTATTTCTCTCATTCTAGGAATTCTTCCTGTTTTTTTCTCACATTTTTCTCGATTCTAGAGTTTTCTTCTGTTTCTTTTCATTTTTCTCGATTCTAGAGTTTCTTCTTTTCTGTATTCTTTCTTTTCTGTTCATTTTCTCGATTAAAAGTTTCTTCCTGTTTCTTTTCTCACATTTCTCGATTCTAGAATTTTCTCCCTGTTTCTTTTTCATTTTCTCAATTCTAGTTTCTTCCTGTTTCTTTTCGATTTCTCTAGAAATTTCTTCCTGTTTCTTTTCTCACATTTCTCGATTCTAAAAGTTTCTTCCTGTTTCTTTTTTTCTCACAGTTTCTTCCTTTTCTTTTCTCATATTTCTCAGATTCTGAAATTTCTTCCTGTTTCTTTCTCTCATTTCTCGATTCTAGAAGTTTCTTCTGTTTCTTTTCTCATTTCTCATTCTAGAAGTTTCTTCTGTTTTTCTTTTTCTTTCATTTCTCGATTCTAGAGATTTCTTCCTGTTTCTTTTCTCACATTTCTCGATTCTAGGATTTCTTCCTGTTTCTTTTCTCCATTTCTCGATTCTAAGTTTCTTCCTGTTTCTTTTCTCCCACATTTCTCGATTCTAGAAGTTTCTTCCTGTTTCTTTTCTCACATTTCTCGATTCTAGAAATTTCTTCCTGTTTCTTTTTCTCACATTTCTCGATTCTAGAAGTTTCTTCCTGTTTCTTTTCTCTCATTTCTCGATTCTAGAGTTTCTTCCTGTTTCTTTTCTCCATTTTCTCGATTCTAGAAGTTTCTTCCTGTTTCTTTTTCTCATTTCTCGATTCTAGAAGTTTCTTCCTGTTTCTTTTTTCATTCTTTTTCATTTCTCGATTCTAGGGGTTTCTTCCTGTTTCTTTTCTCACATTTCTCGATTCTAGAAATTTCTTCCTGTTTCTTTTCTCCCATTTCTCGATTCTAGAAAATTCTTTCCCTGTTTCTTTTCTCACATTTCTCGATTCTAGAATTTTCTTCCTGTTTCTTTTCTCCCATTTTTCTTCCTGTTTCTTTTCTCACATTTCTCATTTTAGAAATTTCTTCCTGTTTCTTTTCTCACACATTTCTCGATTCTAAGTTTCTTCCCTGTTTCTTTTCTCACATTTCTCGATTCTAGAAGTTTCTTCCCTGTTTCTTTTCTCATTTTTTCTCGATTCTAGAAGATTCTTCCTGTTTCTTTCTCATATTTCTCGATTCTAGAAGATTCTTCCTGTTTCTTTTCTCACATTTCTCGATTCTAGAAGTTTCTTCTGTTTCTTTTTCTCCTTTTCTCGATTCTAGAAGTTTCTTCCTGTTTTCTTTTCTCATATTTCTCGATTCTAGAAATTTCTTCCTGTTTCTTTTCTCACATTTCTCGATTCTAGGTTTCTTCCTGTTTCTTTTCTCTTATTTCTCGATTCTAGAAGTTTCTTCCTGTTTCTTTTCATATTTCTCGAAAATTCTTCCTCCTTTTCTCATTTCTCCATTCTAAATTTCTTCTGTTTCTTTTCTCACATTTCTCATTCAAAGTTTCTTCCCTGTTTCTTTTCTCACATTTCTCGATTCTAGAAATTTCTTCCTGTTATTTTTTTCTCCATTTCTCTGATTCTAAGTTTCTTCCTGTTTCTTTTCTCACATTTCTCGATTCTAGAAGTTTCTTCCTGTTTCTTTTCTCACATTTCTCGATTCTAGAAATTTCTTCCTTTTTCTTTTCTCACATTTCTCGATTCTAGAAGTTAATACCTGTTTCTTTACTCACATTTCTCGATTCTAGAAGTTTCTTCCTGTTTCTTTTCTCATTTCTCGATTCTTGAATTTCTTCCTGTTTCTTTTCTCACATTTCTCGATTCTGGAAGATTTTCTTCCTGTTTCTTTTCTCATTTCTCGATTCTAGAAGTTTCTTCCTTTTCTTTTCTCACATTTTCTCGTTTCTTTTCTCATTTCTTCTAGAAGTTTCTTCCTGTTTCTTTTCTCACATTTTCTCGATTCTAGATTCTTCTATTACTTTTCTCAATTTCTTTTCTTCCTGTTTCTTTTCTCACATTTCTCGATTCTTGATTTTTTCTTCCTGTTTCTTTTCTCATTTCTCGATTCTAAGTTTCTTCCTGTTTCTTTTCTCACATTTCTCATTCTAGAATTTCTTCCTGTTTCTTTTCTCATTTCTCGTTTCTTTTGAATTTCTTCCTGTTTCTTTTCTCCATTTCTCAATTCTAGATTTCTTCTGTTTCTTTTCTCACATTTCTCGATTCTTTTCTCCCTGTTTCTTTTTTCTCATTTCTCGATTCTGAAATTTCTTCCTATTTCTTTTCTCACATTTCTCATTCTAGAATTTCTTCCTGTTTCTTTTCTCATTTCTCGATTCTAGAAGTTTCTTCCTGTTTCTTTTCTCATTTCACATTTCTCATTCTAGAAATTTCTTCCTGTTTCTTTTCATATTTCTCGATTTTAAGTTTCTTCCTGTTTCTTTTCTCCACATTTCTCGATTCTAGAAATTTCTTCTGTTTCTTTCTCACATTTCTCGATTCTAGAAATTTCTTCCTGTTTTCTTTTCTCACATTTTCTCGATTCTACAAGTTTTCTTCCTGTTTCTTTTCTCACATTTCTCGATTCTAGAAGTTTTTCTTCCTGTTTCTTTTCTCCATTTCTAAATTCTAGAAATTTCTTCCTGTTTCTTTTCTCACATTCTCTCGATTCTAGAAATTTCTTTCCTGTTTTTTTCTCACATTTCTCGATTCTAGAAGTTTCTTCCTGTTTCTTTTCTCACATTTCTCGATTCTAGAAGTTTCTTCTTGTTTTTTTTTCTCACATTTCTCATTCTAAAGTTTCTTCCTGTTTCTTTTCTCATTTTCTCGATTCTAGAAGTTTCTTCCTGTTTCTTTTCTCACATTTTTCTCGATTCACAATTTTCTTATATTTCTTTTTCTCATATTTCTCGATTCTAGAAGTTTCTTCCTGTTTCTTTTCTCACATTTCTCGATTCTGATTTCCTGTTTTTTTTCATTTCTGATTTTTGAATTTTTCTTTTCTTTTCTCTCACATTTCTCGATTCTTCCTGTTTCTTTCTCACATTTCTCGATTCTAAGTTTCTTCCTGTTTCTTTTCTCCATTTCTCGATTCTAGAAGTTTCCCTGTTTCTTTTCATTTCTTTCTTCCTTTTTCTTTTCTCACATTTCTCGATTCTAGAAATTTCTTCCTGTTTCTTTTCTCCACATTTCTCGATTCTAAATTTCTTCCTTTTCTTTTCTTCATTTTTCGATTCTAAAGTTTCTTCCTGTTTCTTTTCTCTGTTTCTCGATTTTAGGTTTTCTTCTATTTCTTTTCTTTTCACATTTCTCCAATTCTAGAATTTCTTCCTGTTTCTTTTTCTTTTCTCACATTTCTCGATTCGAAGTTTTCTTCCTGTTTCTTTTTTCTTTTCTCATTTCTCGATTCTAGTTATAAAGATTTCTTCCTGTTTCTTTTCTCACATTCTGATTCTTCCGATTCTAGAGTTTCTTCCTGTTTCTTTTCTCCATTTCTCGATTCTAAGATTTCTCCCTGTTTCTTTTCTCATTTTCTCGATTCTAGAATTTTCTTCCTGTTCTTTTCTCACATTTCTCAATTCTAAGTTTCTTCCTGTTTCTTTTCTCCCATTTCTCATTTAGAAGTTTCTTCCTGTTTCTTTTCTCACATTTCTCCCATTCTAGAAATTTCTTCCTGTTTCTTTTCTCCCATTTCTCAGTTCAAAATTCTTCCTGTTTCTTTTCTCACATTTCTCAGTTCTAAATTTCTTCCTGTTTCTTTTCTCACATTTCTCATTCTCAGTATACAAAAGAAATTTCTTCCTGTTTCTTTCTCATTTCTCAATTCTAAGTTTCTTCCTGTTTCTTTTCTCACATTTCTCGATTCTAGGGAATTTCTTCCTGTTTCTTTTCTCACATTTCTCGATTCTAGAAATTTCTTCCTGTTTCTTTTTCTCACATTTCTCGATTCTAAAAGTTTCTTTTTTCCTTTTCTCACATTTCTCCTAAATTTTCTTCCTGTTTCTTTTCTCCATTTCTCGATTTGAAAATTTCTTCCTGTTTCTTTTCTCCATTTCTCGATTCTAGAAGTTTCTTCCTGTTTCTTTTCTCATATTTCTCGATTCTGAAGTTTCTTCCTGTTTCTTTTCTCATTTCTCGATTCTGATTTCTTCCTGTTTCTTTTCTCATTTTCTCGATTCTAGAATTTCTTCCTGTTTCTTTTCTCATTTCTCGATTCTAGAAAGATTCTTCCTGTTTCTTTTCTCATTTCTCATTCTGATTTCTTCCCTTTTCTTTTCTCATTTTCTCGATTCTAGTTTCTTCCTGTTTCTTTTCTCATTTCTCGATTCTCAAAGTTTCTTCCTGTTTTTCTTTTCTCACATTTCTCGATTCTAGAAGTTTCTTCCTGTTTCTTTTCTCACATTTCTCGATTCTAGATTTTCTTCCTGTTTCTTTTCTCATATTTCTCGTTTCTTTTCATTTTCTAAATTCTGGAATTTTCTTCCTGTTTCTTTTCTCACATTTCTCGATTCTAAGTTTCTTCCTGTTTCTTTTCTCACATTTTCTCGATTCTAGAAATATTTTTTCTTCCTGTTTCTTTTCTCATTTCTCGATTCTAGAATTTCTTCTTTTCTTTTCTCACATTTCCAAATTCTGAAGTTTCTTCCTGTTTCTTTTCTCATTTCTCAATTAGAAATTTTCTTCCTGTTTTCTTTTCTCACATTTTCTCGATTCTAGAAGTTTCTTCCTGTTTCTTTTCTCACATTTCTCGATTCTAGAAGTTTCTTCCTGTTTTTCTTTTCTCCATTTCTCATTTAAAATTTCTTCCTGTTTCTTTTTTCATTTCTCGATTCTAAATTTCTTCCTGTTTCTTTTCTCATTTCTCGATTTTTGAAGTTTTCTTCCTGTTTTCTTTTCTCCATTTCTCGATTCTAGAAGTTTCTTCCTGTTTCTTTTTCTCACATTTCTCATTCTTTCTTTTCTTCCTTTTCTTTTCTCCATTTCTCGATTCTAGAAATTTCTTCCTTTTTCTTTTCTCACATTTCTCATTCTGAATTTTCTTCCTGTTTCTTTTCTCACATTTCTCATTCATTTCTTTCTGTTTCTTTTCTCATTTCTCATTCCTTTCTTCTGTTTCTTTTTCTCACATTTCTCGATTCTAGAAATTTCTTCCTTTTTCTTTTCTCACATTTCTCGATTCTAGAGATTTCTTCCCTGTTTCTTTTTTTTTTCTCTTTTCTCTGAAGTTTCTCTCATATTTCTTTGAAGTCTCTTCCTGTTTTCTCATTTCTCGATTCATATTTCTCGATTCTTTTCTCATATTTCTCGATTCTAGAAGTTTCTTTTCTTTTCATTTCTCGATTCTAGAAGTTTTCTTCTGTTTTCTTTTCTCATTTTTTCTTCCTGTTTCTTTTCTCACATTTCTCGATTCTAATTTTCTTCCTGTTTCTTTTCTCCATTTTCTCATTCTGATTACTTCCTTTTTCTTTTCTCTTCCTGTTTCTTTTTCTCTCATATTTCTCGATTCTAGAATTTTCTTCCTGTTTCTTTTTTCTCCATTTCTCATTCTAGAAGTTTCTTCCTGTTTCTTTTCTCACATTTTCTCGATTCTAGAAGTTTCTTCCTGTTTCTTTTCTCCCATTTCTCATTCTAGAAAAGTTTCTTCCTGTTCATTTTCTCACATTTCTCGATTCTAGAAGTTTCTTCCTGTTCTTTTCTCATATTTCTCTCATTTCTTCGTTTATTTTCTCACATTTCTTTCTAAGTTTTCTTTCTGTTCTTTCCTCATATTTCTCGATTCTGAAATTTTCTTCCTGTTTCTTTTCTCCATTTCTCGATTCTAGAAGTTTCTTCCTGTTTCTTTTCTCATATTTCTCGAATCTAGAGATTTCTCCCTGTTTCTTTTCTCCCATTTCTCGATTCCAAGAATTTCTTCCTGTTTCTTTTCTCATATTTCTCGATTCTAGAATTTTCTTCTGTTTCTTTTTCTCCATTTCTCGATTTAAGTTTCTTCTGTTCCTTTTCATTTCTCGATTCTAGAAGTTTTTCTTTTTTTCTTTTCCATATTCTCGATTCTAGAAATTCTTCCTGTTTCTTTTCGATTCTAGATTCATTTCTCAATTCTAGAAGTTTCTTCCTGTTTCTTTTCTCACATTTCTCGATTCTAGAAATTCTTCCTGTTTCTTCCTGTTCCCTTTTCTCTCACATTTCTCGATTCTAGAAGTGTCTTCCTGTTTCTTCCTGTTTCTTTTCTCCACTGTTTTCTCGATTCTAGAAGTTTCTTCTATTTCTTTTCATTTCTCGATTCTAGAAGTTTCTTCCTGTTTCTTTTCTCATTTCTCATTCTTGAAATTTCTTCCTGTTTCTTTTCTCACATTTCTCGATTCTAATTTCTTCTGTTTCTTTTCTCATTTTCTCGATTCTAGATTCTTTTTCTTCCCTGTTTCTTTTCTCCTGTTTCTCCATTTCTCTTAAGTTTCTTCCTGTTTCTTTTCTCACATTTCTCGATTCTGGAACATTTTCTTCCTAGAATTCTTTTTTCTTTTTCATTTTCTCGATTCTCAAGATTCTTCCTGTTTCTTTTCTCACATTTCTCAATTCTCGAAGTTTCTTCCTGTTTCTTTTCTCATTTTTTCTCATTTCTCGATTCTAGATTCTAATTTCTTCCTGTTTTTTTTTTTCTCACATTTTCTCGATTCTAGAAGTTTCTTCCTGTTTCCTTTTTCATTTCTCACATTTCTCGATTCTAGAAGTTTCTTCTGATTCTTTTCTCTCTCCTGTTTCTTTTCTCACATTTCTCGATTCTAGATTTTCTTCCTGTTTTTCTTTTCTCCCATTTCTCGATTCTGAAGTTTCTTCCTGTTCTTTTCTCACATTTCTCGATTCTGTTTCTTCCTGTTTCTTTTCTCCCATTTCGATTCTTTTTCTTTTCTCACATTTCTCGATTCTAGTTTCTTCCTTTCTTTTCTCCACATATCTCGATTCTTTCTTCCTGTTTCTTTCTCTGTTTCATTTCTCGATTCTAGAATTTTCTTCCTGTTTCTTTTTTTCTCATTCATTTCTCGATTTCTGATACTAATTTTCTTCCTGTTTTCTTTTCTCATGTTTCTCGATTCTAGAAGTTTCTTCCTGTTTCTTTTCTCACATTTCTCGATTCTAGAAGTTTCTTCCTGTTTCTTTTCTCACATTTCTCGATTCTAGAAATTTCTTCCTGTTTCTTTTCTCATATTTCTCGATTCTAGAAGTTTCTTCCTGTTTCTTTTCTCACATTTCTCGATTCTAGAAGTTTCTTCCTGTTTCTTTTCTCATATTTCTCGAATCTTGAAGTCTCTTCCTGTTTCTTTTTTCTTCCTGTTTTTCTTTTCTCATATTTCTCGATTCTAAGATTCTTCTGTTACTTTTTCACACATTTCTCGATTCTAGAAGTTTCTTCCTGTTTTTTCTCATATTCTCTGTTTCTTTTCTCACATTTCTCGATTTTTGAAGATTTCTTCCCTGTTTCTTTCTCATTTTCTCGATTCTAGGGTTTTCTTCCTGATTCTTTTCTCATATTTCTCGATTCTAGAATTTTCTTCCTGTTTCTTTTCACATTTCTCGATTCTAGAAATTTCTTCCTTTTCTTTCTCATATTTCTCGATTCTAGAAGTTTCTTCCTGTTTCTTTTCTCACATTTCTCGATTCTAGAAGAATTTCTTCCTGTTTCTTTTCTCACATTTTTCTCGATTCTAGAGTTTTCTTCCTTTTTCTTTTCTCACATTTCTCGATTCTAGAAATTTCTTCCTGTTTCTTTTCTCTTTCGATTTAGGGATTTCTTCCTGTTTCTTCTCATTTCTCGATTCTAAGTTTTTCTTCCTGTTTCTTTTCTATTTCTCGATTCTAGTTTCTTCCTTTTCTTTTCTCATTTCTCTCGATTCTAGAAGATTCTTCCTGTTTCTTTTCTTTTCTCCCACATTTCTCGTTTCTTTTCTCATTCTCGAAAATTTCTTCCTGTTCTTTTCTCACATTTCGATTCTAGATTTCTTCTGTTTCTTTTCTCCATTTCTCGATTCTAAGTTTCTTCCTGTTTCTTTTCTCACATTTCTCGATTTTTGGGATTTCTTCCTGTTCATTTCTCATTTCTCGATTCTAGAAGTTTCTTCCTGTTCTTTTCTCATTTCTCGATTCTAGAGATTTCTTCCCTGTTTCTTTTTCTCCCCATTTCTCGATTCTAGAAATTTCTTCTTTTTCTTTTCTCCATTTTCTCGATTCTAGAATATTCTTCCTGTTTCTTTCTTTTCTCACATTTCTCGATTCTAGAAATTTCTTCCTGTTTCTTTTTCTCATTCTCGATTCTAGAAGTTTCTTCCCTGTTTCTTTTCTCACATTTCTCGATTCTAAAATTTCTTCCTGTTTCTTTTCTCACATTTCTCGATTCTAGAGATTTCTTCCTGTTTCTTTTCTCGATTCTATTTCTTCCTGTTTCTAAATTTCTTGAAGTCTCTTCCTGTTTTTATTTTCTCATTTCTCGATTCTTTTCTTTTCTCATATTTCTCGATTCTAGAAGATTCTTCTACTTTTCATTTCTCATTCTTTTCTTATTTCTCGATTTCTAGAAGTTTCTTCCTGTTTCTTTTCTCACATTTTCTTCTGTTTCATTTCTCATTTCTCATTCTAGAAGTTTCTTCCTTTTTTCTTTTCTCACATTTCTCGATTCTAGAATTTTCTTCTGTTTTTTCTCATATTTCTCGATTCTAGAAGTTTCTTCCTTTTCTTTTCTCACATTTCTCGATTCTAGAATATTCTTCCTGTTTCTTTTCTCACATTTCTCGATTCAGAGGAACCCTGTTTCATTTTCTTCCTTTTCTGTTTTTTCTCCTATCTCGATTCTGAAGTTTCTTCGTTATTTTCTCATTTTCTCGATTCTAAGTTTCTTCCCTGTTTCTTTTCTCTTATTTCTCGATTCTTGAGTCTCTTCTGTTTCTTTTTCTCACATTTCTCGATTCTAAGTTTCTTCTGATTCTTTTCTCACATTTCTCGATACTAGAAATTCTTCCTGTTTCTTTTCTCATTTCTCGATTCTAAGTTTCTTCCTGTTTCTTTTCTCCATTCTCTCAGAAGTTTCTCCCTGTTTCTTTTTTCACATTTCTCGATTCTAGAAGATTCTTCCTGTTTCTTTTTTTTTCCATTTCTCCTGTTCTTCTCACATTTCTTTCTAAAGTTTCTTCCTGTTTTTTCTCTCATACTTTTCTCGATTCTAGAAGTTTCTTCCTTTTCTTTTCTCACATTTCTCGATTCTGAAGATTCTTCTGTTCTTTTTCTCATATTTCTCGATTCTGAAGATTCTTCCTGTTTCTTTTTCACATTTCTCGATTACAAAGTTTCTTCCTGTTTTCTTTTCACATTTCTCGATTCTAGAAGTTTCTTCCTGTTTTTTCTCCCATTTCTCGATTCTTCTGTTTCTTTTCTCATGTTTCTCGATTCTAGGAGTTTCTTCCTGTTTCTTTTCTCACATTTCTCGATTCTAGAAGTTTCTTCCTGTTTCTTTTCTCACATTTCTCGATTCTAGAAGTTTTCTTCCTGTTTCTTTTCTCGATTCATTTCTCGATTCTCGATTCTTCCTGTTTCTTTCTCATATTTCTCGAATCTAGAGTCTCTTCCTGTTTCTTTTCTCACATTTCTCGATTCTGGAAATTTCTTCCTGATTCTTTTCTCATGTTCGATTCTAGAAGTTTCTTCCTGTTTCTTTTCTCACATTTCTCGATTCTAGAGAGTTTCTTCCTGTTTCTTTTCATTTTCTCATTTTGAATTTCTCGATTCTAGAAGATTCTTCCTGATTCTTTTCTCACATTTCTCGATTCATAGAGATTCTTCCTGTTTCTTTTCTCATATTTCTCGATTCGGTTTCTTCCTTTTCTTTTCTCACATTTCTCGATTCTAGAAGTTTCTTCCTGTTTCTTTTCTCCATTTCTCGATTCTAAGTTTCTTCTGTTTCTTTTCTCATTTTCTCGATTCTAGTTTCTTCCTGTTTCTTTTCTCATTTCTCGATTTTTGAGATTTTCTTCCTGTTTCTTTTCTCATTTCTCGATTCTAGAAATTTCTTCCTGTTTCTTTTCTCATTTCTCGATTCTAAGTTTCTTCTGTTTTTTCTTTTCTCACATTTCTCGATTCTGAAATTTCTTCCTTTTTCTTTTCTCATTTCTCGATTCTAGAAGTTTCTTCCTGTTTCTTTCTCATTTCTCGATTCTAAGTTTCTTCCTGTTTCTTTTCTCATTTCTCGATTCTAGAAGTTTCTTCCTGTTTCTTTTCTCATTTCTCGATTCACAAGTTTCTTCCCTTTTCTTTTCTCATTTCTCGATTCTAGAAGATTCTTCCTGTTTCTTTTCTCCATTTCTCGATTCTAATTTCTTCCTGTTTCTTTTTTCTCACATTTCTCGTCTTCCCTCTTCTTTTCTCACATTTCTCGAAAGATTTTCTTCCTGTTACTTTTCTCCATTTCTCCGATTCTAGAATTCTTCCCTGTTTTTTTTCATTTCTCGATTCTGAATTTCTTCCTTTTCTTTTTCTCACATTTCTCGATTCTAAGTTTCTACCTGTTTCTTTTCTCCCATTTCTCGATTCTAAAGTTTCTTCCTGTTTCTTTTCATTTCTCAATTCTAGAAGTTTTCTTCCTGTTTCTTTTCTCCACATTTCTCGATTCTAAAGTTTCTTCCTGTTTCTTTTCTCATTTCTCGATTCTAGAATTTCTTCCTGTTTCTTTTCTCTCATTTCTCGATTCTGAAGTTTCTTCCTGTTTCTTTTCTCATTTCTCGATTCTAAAGTTTCTTCCTTCTTTTCTTTTCTCATTCTGAATTTCTCGTTTTCTCAAATTTCGATTCTAGTTTCTTCCTGTTTCTTTTCTCATTCATTTCTCGATTCTAGAAGTTTCTTCCTGTTTCTTTTCTCATTTCTCGATTCTAGAAGTTTCTCGATTCTGAAAGTTTCTTCCTGTTTCTTTTCTCATTTCTCGATTCTAGAAGTTTCTTCCTGTTTCTTTTCTCATTTCTCGATCTAAAAGTTTCTTCCTGTTTTTTCTCACATTTCTCGATTCGAGTTTCTTCCTGTTTCTTTCTCATATTTCTCGTTCTGAAGATTCTTCCTGTTTCTTTTCTCATTTCTCAATTCTAAGTTTTCTTCCTGTTCTTTTCTCCATTCTTTCTAATTTTCTTTTCTTTCATTTCTCGATTCTAGAAGTTTCTTCCTGTTTCTTTTCTCCATTTCTCGATTCTAGAGATTTCTTCCTGTTTCTTTTCTCACATTTCTCGATTCTGAAATTTCTTCCTTTCTTTTCTCACATTTCTCGATCTCTAAAGTTTCTTCCTGTTTCTTTTCTCTTATTTCTCGATTTAAGTTTCTTCCCTTTTTTTTTTCTCATTAGTTTCTCGATTCTTGATATTCTCTTCTTTTTCCTTTTTTTTCACATTCTCGATTCTAGAAGATTCTTCCTGTTTCTTTTCTCATTTCTCGATTCTAGAAGTTTCTTCCTGTTTCTTTTCTCATTTCTCGATTCTAGAAGTTTCTTCCTGTTTCTTTTCTCACATTTTCTCGATTCTAGAAGTTTCTTCCTGTTTCTTTTCTCACATTTCTCGATTCTAGATTTTCTTCCTGTTTCTTTTCTCACATTTCTCGATTCTAGAAGTTTCTTCCTGTTTCTTTTCTCCATTTCTCGATTCTAGGATTCTTCTTTCTGTTTCTTTTCTCATATTTCTTCGATTTTTGTTTCTCATTTCTTCTTCCTGTTTCTTTTCACATTTCTCATTCTAGAGATTTTCTTCTGTTTCTTTTCTCACATTTCGATCTGGCTTCCTGTTCTTTTTCGGTCATTCTAGAAGGTTTCTTCCCTGTTTCTTTTCTCATATTTCTCGATTCTAGAATTTCTTCCTTTTTCTTTTCTCATTTCTCGATTCTAGAAGTTTCTTCCTGTTTCTTTTCTCGGTTACTGTTTCTTTTTCTCACATTTCTCGATTAAATTTCTTCCTGTTTCTTTTCTCCATTCATTTCTCATTTTTTAGAAGTTTCTTCCTGTTTCTTTTCTCATTTTTTCGATTCGAATCATTTCTCGATTCTGAAGTTTCTTCCTGTTTCTTTTTCTCATTTCTCGATTCTGGATTTCTTCCTGTTTCTTTTCTTCCTTTTTCTTTTCATTTCATATTTTCTTCCTGTTTCTTTTCATTTCTCGATTCTAGAAATTCTTCCTGTTTCTTTTCTCATATTTCTCGATTCTAGATTTCTTTCTTTTCTTTTCTCATTTCTCGATTCTAAAGTTTTCTTCCTGTTTCTTTTCTCATTTCTCGATTCTAGAAGTTTCTTCCTGTTTCTTTTCTCACATTTCTCGATTCTAGAAGTTTCTTCCTGTTTCTTTTCTCTTTCTCGATTTCATTCTTCTGTTTCTTTTCTCATTTTCTCGATTCTAGAAGTTTCTTCCTGTTTCTTTTCTCCATTTCTCGATTCTAGAAGTTTCTTCCTGTTCATTTTTTCTCACATTTCTCGATTCTGAAGTTTCTTCTGTTTCTTTTCTCTTATTTCTCGATTCTAGAAGTTTCTTCCTGTTTCTTTTCTCACATTTCTCGATTCTAGAAGTTTCTTCCCTTTTCTTTTTCCTTATTTTCTCTAGAAAATTCTTCCTGTTTCTTTTTTCTCGATTCTAGAAGTTTCTTCCTGTTTCTTTTCTCATTTCTCGATTCTAAAGTTTCTTCCTGTTTCTTTTCTCATTTCTTTCTAATTCTTCCTGTTTTTTTCTCCCATTTCTCGATTCTCAGAGAAATTTCTTCCTGTTTCTTTTCTCCCATTTCTCGATTCTGAAGTTTCTTCCTGTTTCTTTTCTCATTTCTCGATTCTAGAAAATTCTTCCTGTTTCATTTCTCCTATTTTATTTCTCGATTCTAAAGTTTCTTCCTGTTTCTTTCTCACATTTTCTCGATTCACATTTTTCTTCTGATTCTTTTCTTTCTCACATTTCTCATTCTAGATTTTTTCTTCCTTTTTCTTTCTTTCTCGATTCTAGAAATTTCTTCTTTTTCTTTTCTCCTATTTCTCGATTCTAGAAAGATTCTTCTGTTTCTTTTCTCACATTTCTCGATTCTAGAAGTTTCTTCTATTTCTTTTCTCACATTTCTCGATTCTAGAAGTTTCTTCCTGTTTCTTTTCTCATTTCTCGATTCTGAAATTTCTTCCTGTTTATTTCTCACATTCTCGATTCTAGAAGTTTCTTCTTTTCTCATATTTCTCCTGTTTTTCTTTTCTTTTCTCATTTCTCGATTCTAGTTTCTTCCTGTTTCTTTTCTCCATTTCTCGATTCTAGAACTTCTTTTTCCATATTTTGATTCTTTCTTCCTGTTTATTCTCTTTTCTCTCATTTCTTTGTCTTCTTCTGTTTCTTTTCTCATTTCTCAGATCCTTTCTTCTGTTTCTTTTCTCATTTCTCGATTCTAGAAGTTTCTTCCTGTTTCTTTCTTTTTCTCGATTCTAGAATTTCTCGATTCTCTTTCTTCTTCCATTTCTCATTCCTCGATTCTAGTTTCTTCCTGTTTCTTTTCTCACATTTTCTCGATTCTAGAAATTTCTTTTCTTCCTGTTTCTTTCTCATTTCTCATTCTTATATTTCTCGATTTTTGAAGTTTCTTCCTGTTTCTTTTCTCCATTTCTCGATTCTAAGTTTCTTCCTGTTTCTTTTCTCACATTTCTCGATTCTAGAAATTTTCTTCCTGTTTTTTTCTCCACATTTCTCGATTCTGAAGTTTCTTCTGTTTCTTTTCTCCATTTCTCGATTCTAGAAGTTTCTTCCTGTTTCTTTTCTCATATTTCTCGATTCTAGAAGTTTCTTCCTGTTTCTTCCTGTTTCTTTCTCCCTGTTTTTTTCTCGATTCTAGAAGTTTCTTCCTGTTTCTTTTCTCATATTTCTCGATTCTAGAAGTTTCTTCCTGTTTCTTTTCTCACATTTCTCGATTCTAAAGTTTCTTCCTGTTCTTTTTCCTTTTTTTCTCGATTCTGAAGTTTCTTCCTGTTTCTTTTCTCATTTCTCGATTCTAGAAGTTTCTTCTTCCTGTTTCGATTTTTCTTCTGTTTCATTTCTCCTTTTCTCGATTCTAAGTTTCTTCCTGTTTCTTTTCTCATTTCTCGATTCTAGATGTTTATTTTTCTCGATTTCAGTTTCTTCTGTTCTTTTCTCCTGAAGTTTCTTCTGTTTCTTTTCTCACATTTCTCGATTCTAGAAGTTTCTTCCTGTTTCTTTTCATTTCTCGATTCTGTTTCTTCCTTTTCTTTTCTCACATTTCTCGATTCTAGAAATTTCTTCCTGTTTCTTTTCTCATATTTCTCGATTCTAGAAGTTTCTTCCTGTTTCTTTTCTCATTTCTCGATTCTCAAGTTTCTTCCTGTTTCTTTTCTCATTTCTCGATTCTAGAAGTTTCTTCCTTTCTTTTTCCTTTTTCTTTCTAGAAGTTTCTTCCTGTTTCTTTTCTCATATTCTCGATTCTAGAAGTTTCTTCCTGTTTATTTTTCTCATTTCTCGATTCTAGAAGTTTCTTCCTGTTTCTTTTCTCATTTCTCGATTCTAGAAGTTTCTTCCTGTTTCTTTTTTCATTTCTCGATTCTAAGTTTCTTCTGATTCTTTTCTCACATTTCTCTTCTAGAAGTTTCTTCCTGTTTCTTTTCTCACATTTCTCGATTCTAGAAGTTTCTTCCTGTTTCTTTTCTCACATTTCTCGATTCTAGAAGTTTCTTCCTGTTTCTTTTCTCACATTTCTCGATTCTAGAAGTTTCTTCCTGTTCTTTTTTCTTCCTGTTTCTTTTCTTCTTTTCTCACTCTCGATTCTAGAAGTTTCTTCCTGTTTCTTTTCTCATTTATCGATTCTTTCTCGATTTCTAGAACAAGTTTTCTTCCTGTTTCTTTTCTCATTTTCTCGATTCTTGAAGTTTCTTCCTGTTCATTTTCTCCATTTCTCGATTCTAAGTTTCTTCCTGTTTCTTTCTCTCATATTTCTCGATTCTTCCTGTTTCTTTTCTCACTTTTCTTCCTGTTTCTTCCTTTTCTTTTCTCACATTTCTCGATTCTAGAAGTTTCTCCCTGTTTCTTTTTCTCTCATTTCTCGATTCTAGAAGATTCTTCCTGTTTCATTTTCATTTCTCGATTCTCTTTTCTGTTTCTTCATTTCTCGATTCTAGAAGTTTCTTCCTGTTTCTTTTCTCCATTTCTCGATTCTAGAAGTTTCTTCCTTTTCTTTTCTCATTTCTCGATTCTAAATTTCTTCCTGTTTCTTTTCTCCATTTCTCGATTCTAGAAATTCTTCCTGTTTCTTTTCACATTTCTCGATTCTAGAAGTTTCTTCCTGTTTCTTTTCTCACATTTCTCGATTCTAGAAGTTTCTTCCTGTTTCTTTTCATTTCTCCTAGAATTTCTCGATTCTAGATTCTAAGTTTCTTCCTGTTTCTTTTCTCATGTTTCTCGATTCTAGAAGTTTCTTCCTGTTTCTTTTCTCTCATTTCTCGATTCTAGAAATTTCTTCCTGTTTTTCTTTTCGATTCAGTTTCTTCCATTTCTCATTTCGATTCTAGAAGTTTCTTCCTGTTTCTTTTTCATTTTCTCATCTTCTCGACATTTTCTAGAAGTTTCTTCCTGTTCTTTTCTCGATTCATTTCTCGATTCTAAAGTTTCTTCTTTTCTTTTCTCATATTTCTCGATTCTAGAATTCTTTCTTCCTTTTTTTTTCTTTTCTCATTCTTCCTGTTTCTTTTCTCACATTTCTCGATTCTAGAAGTTTCTTCCTGTTTCTTTTCTCACATTTCTCGATTCTAGAAGTTTCTTCCTTTTCTTTTCTCATTTCTCGATTTTAGAAGTTTTCTTCCTGTTTCTTTTCTCATTTTCTCGATTCTAAGTTTCTTCCTGTTTCTTTTCTCACATTTCTCGATTCTAGAATTTTTCTTCCTGTTTCTTTTCTCACATTTCTCGATTCTAGAAATTTCTTCCTGTTTCTTTTCTCCTTATTTCTCGATTCTAGAAGTTTCTTCCGTTTCTTTTCTTCTTCCTGTTTTTCTGTTTTTTCTCACATTTCTCGATTCTAGAAGTTTCTTCCTGTTTCTTTTCTTTTCTCATTCATTTCTCGATTCTCGATTCTAGTTTCTTCCCTCGATTTTTCTTCCTTTTCTCTCATTTCTCGATTCTAAGTTTCTTCCTGTTTCTTTTCTCTTGTTTTCTCGATTCTAGAAGTTTCTTCCTGTTTCTTTTCTCTTATTTCTCGATTAGAATTTCTTCCTGTTTTTTTTCTCAAATTTCTCGATTTAGATTTTTTGTTTCTTTTCTCACATTTCTCGATTCTAGAAGTTTCTTCCTGTTTCTTTCTCATTTCTCGATTCTAGAAGTTTCTTCCTGTTTCTTTTCTCATTTCTCGATTCTAGGTTTCTTTTTTCTTTTCTATGTTTCTTTTTCTTTCTCGATTCTAGAATTTCTTCCTGTTTCTTTTCTCACATTCTCGATTCTAGAAGTTTCTTCCTGTTTCTTTTCTCACATTTCTCGATTCTCGATTCTAGAAGTTTCTTCCTGTTTCTGTTTTTCTCCATTTCTCGATTCTAGAATTTTCTTCCTGTTTCTTTTCTCACATTTCTCGATTCTAGAAGTTTCTTCCTGATTTCTTTTCTCGATTTTTCTTCATTTCTTTTCTCGTTTTCGATTCCTTCTTCTGTTTCTTTTCTCATTTCTCGATTCTAGAAGTTTCTTCTTTTCTTTTCTCTTTTCTCGATTCTAGAAGTTTTCTCTGTTTCTTTTTCTCATTTCTCGATTTCTTCCTGTTTCTTTTTCTCACATTTCTCGATTCTAGAAGTTTCTTCCTGTTTCTTTTCTCACATTCTCGATTCTGAAGTTTCTTCCTGTTTCTTTTCACATTTCTCGATTCTCAAGTTTCTTCCTGTTTCTTTTCTCATTTCTCGATTCTAGAAGTTTCTTCCTTTTCTTTTTCATTTCTCGATTCTAGAAGTTTCTTCCTGTTTCTTTTCTCACATTTCTCGATTCTAGAAGTTTTCTTCCTGTTTCTTTCTCATTTCTCGATTCTAGAAGTTTCTTCCTGTTTCATTTCTCATTTTTCGATTCTGTTTCTTCCTGTTTCTTTTCTCATATTCTAGAAGTTTCTTCCTGTTTCTTTTCTCACATTTCTCGATTCTAGAAGTTTCTTCCTGTTTCTTTTCTCCCATTTCTCGATTCTAGAAAGATTCTTCTGTTCTTTTCGTTTTTCTCGATTCTAGAAGTTTCTTCCTGTTTCTTTTCTCATTTCTCGATTCTAGAATTTTCTTCCTGTTTCTTTTCTCATATTTTCTCGATTTTAGAATTTTCTTCTGTTTCTGTTTTTCTTTTTCTCGATTCTAGAAGTTTCTTCCTGTTTCTCACATTTCTCGATTCTAGAAAGTTTCTTCCTTTCTTTTCCATTTCTCGATTCTTTTCTCATTTCTCAAGTTTCTTCCTTTTCTTTTCTCACATTTCTCGATTCTAGAAGTTTCTTCCTGTTTCTTTTCTCACATTTCTCGATTCTAGAAGTTTCTTCCTGTTTCTTTTCTCATTTCTCGATTCTAGAAGTTTCTTTTCTGTTTCTTTTCTCACATTTCCTGTTTTTCTTTTTCTTTTTCTCATTTCTCGATTCTAGAAGTTTCTTCCTGTTTCATTTTCTTTTCTCGATTCTAGAAGTTTCTTCCTATTTCTTTTCTCATTTTCTCGATTCTAGAAGTTTCTTCCTGTTTCTTTTCTCACATTTCTCGATTCTAGAAGTTTCTTCCTGTTTCTTTTTTCATTTCTCGATTCTGAAGTTTCTTCCTGTTTCTTTTTCTCATCTTTTCTCGATTCTAGAAGTTTCTTCCTGTTTCTTTTCTCACATTTCTCGATTCTAGAAAATTTCTTCCTGTTTCTTTTCTCATATTTCTCGATTCTAGAAGTTCTTCTTTCTTTTCTCACATTTCTCGATTCTAGAAATTTCTTCCTTTTCTTTTCTCATATTTCTCGATTCTTTCTTCCTGTTTCTTTTCTCACATTTCTCGATTCTAGAAGTTTCTTCCTGTTTCTTTTCTCATTTCTCGATTCTAGAAGTTTCTTCCTGTTTTTTTTCACATTTCTCGATTCTAGAAGTTTCTTCCTGTTTCTTTTCTCACATTTCTCGATTCTAGAAGTTTCTTCCTGTTTCTTTTCTCACATTTCTCGATTCTAGAAGTTTCTTCCTGTTTTTTTCTCATTTCTCGATTCTAGAAGTTTTCTTCTTTTTCTTTTCTCACATTTCTCGATTCTAGAAGTTTCTTCCTGTTTCTTTTCTCATTTCTCGATTCTAGAAGTTTCTTCCTGTTTCTTTTTCATTTCTCGATTCTAGAAGTTTCTTCCTGTTTCTTTTCTCATTTCTCGATTCTAGAAATTTCTTCCTGTTTCTTTTCTTTTCTCGATTCTAGAAGTTTCTTCCTGTTTCTTTTCTCATTTCTCGATTCTAGAATTTTCTTCCTGTTTCTTTTCTCATTTCTCGATTCTAGAAGTTTCTTCCTGTTTCTTTTCTCATTTCTCGATTCTAGAAGTTTCTTCCTGTTTCTTTTCTCCATTTTCTCGATTCTAGAAGTTTCTTCGATTCTCGAGAAATTTCTTCCTGTTTCTTTTCTCTTTTTCTCGATTCTAGAGTTTCTTCCTGTTTCTTTTCTCATTTCTCGATTCTAGAAGTTTCTTCCTGTTTTCTTTCTCATTTCTCGATTCTAGAAGTTTCTTCCTGTTTCTTTTCTCATTTCTCGATTCTAGAAGTTTCTTCCTGTTTCTTTTCTCACATTTCTCGATTCTAGAAGTTTCTTCCTGTTTCTTTTCTCATTTCTCGATTCTAGAAGTTTCTTCCTGTTTCTTTTCTCATTTCTCGATTCTAGAAGATTCTTCCTGTTTCTTTTCTCATTTCTCGATTCTAGAAGTTTCTTCCTGTTTCTTTTCTCACATTTCTCGATTCTAGAAGTTTTCTGTTTCTTTTCTCACATTTCGATTTTTCTTCTGTTCCTTTTCTCATTTCTCGATTCTATTTTTCTTCCTGTTTCTTTTCTCTCATTTCTCGATTCTTCTTTTCTTCTTCCTTTTTCATTTTCGATCTAGAAGTTTCTTCCTGTTTCTTTTTCATTTCTCGATTCTAGAAGTTTCTTCTGTTCTTTTCTCACATTTCTCGATTCTAGAATTTTCTTCCTGTTTCTTTTCTCATTTCTCGATTCTAGTTTTCTACCCTGTTTCTTTTCCTGTTTCTTTTCTCACATTTCTCGATCTAGAAGTTTCTTCCTGTTTCTTTTCTCTGTTTCTCGATTCTAGAGATTTCTTCCTGTTTCTTTTCTCATATTTCTCGATTCTAGAAGTTTCTTCCTGTTTTTCTTTTCTCATTTCTCGATTCTAGAAGTTTCTTCCTGTTTCTTTTCTCATATTTCTCGATTCTAAGTTTCTTCCTGTTTCTTTTCTCATTTCTCGATTCTAGAAGATTTCTTCCTGTTTCTTTTCTCATTTCTCGATTCTGGAAGATTTCTTCTGTTTCTTTTTCTCTATTTTCGATTCTAGAAGATTCTTCCTGTTTCTTTTCTCATATTTCTCGATTCTAGAAGTTTCTTCCTGTTTCTTTTCATTTTCGATTCTGAAGTTTCTTCCTGTTTCTTTTCTCACATTTCTCGATTCTAGAAGTTTCTTCCTGTTTCTATTTCTCGATTCTAGAAGTTTCTTCCTGTTTCTTTTCTCATTTCTCGATTCTAGAATTTCTTTTCTTCCTGTTTCTTTTCTTTTTCTCGATTCTAGAAATTTCTTCCTGTTTCTTTTCTCATATTTCTCGATTCTAGAAGTTTCTTCCTGTTTCTTTTCTCATTTCTCGATTCTAGAAGTTTCTTCCTGTTTCTTTTCTCACATTTCTCGATTCTTTTCTTCCTGTTTCTTTTCTCCATTTTCTCGATTCTAGAAGTTTCTTCCTCACATTTTCGATTTTCTTCCTGTTTCTTTTCTCACATTTCTCGATTCTAGAAGTTTCTTCCTGTTTCTTTTCTCACATTTCTCGATTCTAGAAGTTTCTTCCTGTTTCTTTTCTCATTTTCTCGATTCTAGAAGTTTCTTCCTGTTTCTTTCTCATTTCTCGATTCTAGTTTCTTCCTGTTTCTTTTCCATTTCTTTCTAGAAGTTTTTCTGATTCTTTTCTCGATTTCTAGAAGTTTCTTCCTGTTTCTTTTCTCACATTTCTCGATTCTAGAAGTTTCTTCCTGTTTCTTTTCTCTCATTTCTCGATTCTAGAAGTTTCTTCCTGTTTCTTTTCTCATTTCTCGATTCTAGAAGTTTCTTCCTGTTTCTTTTCTCACATTTCTCGATTCTAGAAGTTTCTTCCTGTTTCTTTTCTCACATTTTCGATTCTAAATTTTTCTTTTCACATTTCTAGAAGTTTCTTCCTGTTTCTTTTCTCATTTTCTCGATTCTAAATTTCTTCCTGTTTCTTTTCTCACATTTCTCGATTCTAAGTTTCTTCCTGTTTCTTTTTCTCATTTTCTCGAATTTCTTCTGTTTCTTTTCTCATATTTCTCATTTTTCTTTCTCCACATTTTCTGTTTTTCTTTTCTCACATTTCTCGATTCTTTTTTCTTCCTGTTTCTTTTCTCATTTCTCGATTCTAGAAATTTCTTCCTGTTTCTTTTTCTCGATTCATTTCTCGATTCTAGAAGTTTCTTCCTGTTTCTTTTCTTTCTCGATTCTAGAAGTTTCTTCCTGTTTCTTTTCTCATTTTTCTCGATTCTAGAATTTTCTTCCTTTTTCTTTTCTCACATTTCTCGATTCTAGAAGTTTCTTCTGTTTCTTTTCTCATTTCTCGATTCTAGAAGTTTCTTCCTGTTTCTTTTCACATTTCTCGATTCTAGAAGTTTCTTCCTGTTTCTTTTCTCTCATTTCTCGATTCTAGAAGTTTCTTCCTGTTTCTTTTCTCACATTTCTCGATTCTAGAAGTTTCTTCTGTTTCTTTTCTCATATTTCTCGATTCTAGAAGTTTCTTCCTGTTTTCTTTTCTCACATTTCTCGATTTCTTCCTGTTTCTTTTCTCCATTTCTCGATTCTAGAAGTTTCTTCCTGTTTCTTTTCTCACATTTCTCGATTCTAGAAGTTTCTTCCTGTTTCTTTTCTCACATTTCTCGATTCTAGGAAAGTTTCTTTCTGTTTCTTTTCTCATTTCTCGATTCTAAGTTTCTTCCTGTTTCTTTTCATGTTTCTCTTTTCTTCTTCCTGTTTCTTTTCTCATTTCTCGATTCTGTTTTTCTTCCTGTTTCTTTTTCATTTCTCATTTCTCGATTCTAGAAGTTTCTTCCTGTTTCTTTTTCATTTCATTTCTCGATTCTAGAAGTTTCTTCCTGTTTCTTTTTCCTGTTTCTTTTTCTCGATTTTCTAGAATTTCTTCCTGTTTCTTTTCTCTCATTTCTCGATTCTAGAAGTTTCTTCCTTTCTTTTCACATTTCTCGATTCTAGAAGTTTCTTCCTGTTTCTTTTTCTCATTTCTCGATTCTAGAAGTTTCTTCCTGTTTCTTTTCTCACATTTCTCGATTCTAGAAGTTTCTTCCTGTTTCTTTTCTCACATTTCTCGATTCGAGATTCTAGAAATTTCTTCCTGTTTCTTTTCTCACATTTCTCGATTCTAGAAGTTTCTTCCTGTTTCTTTTCTCACATTTCTCGATTCTAGAAATTTCTTCCTGTTTCTTTTCTCACATTTCTCGATTCTAGAAGTTTCTTCCTGTTTCTTTTCTCACATTTCTCGATTCTAGAAGTTTCTTCCTGTTTCTTTTCTCACATTTCTCGATTCTAGAAGTTTCTTCCTGTTTCTTTTCTCACATTTCTCGATTCTAGAAGTTTCTTCCTGTTTCTTTTCTCATTTCTCGATTCTAGAAGTTTCTTCCTGTTTCTTTTCTCCCATTTCTCGATTCTAGAAGTTTCTTCCTGTTTCTTTTTCTCATTTCTCGATTCTAGAAGTTTCTTCCTGTTTCTTTTCTCACATTTCTCGATTCTAGAAGTTTCTTCCTGTTTCTTTTCTCACATTTCTCGATTCTAGAAGTTTCTTCCTGTTTCTTTTCTCACATTTCTCGATTCTAGAAATTTCTTCCTGTTTCTTTTCTCACATTTCTCGATTCTAGAAGTTTCTTCCTGTTTCTTTTCTCCACATTTCTCGATTCTAAGTTTCTTCCTTTTTCTTTTCTCATTTCTCGATTCTAGAATTTTCTTCCTGTTTCTTTTCTCACATTTCTCGATTCTAGAATTTTCTTCCTGTTTCTTTTCTCACATTTCTCGATTCTAGAAGTTTCTTCCTGTTTCTTTTCTCCATTTCTCGATTCTAGAAATTTCTTCCTGTTTCTTTTTCATTTCTCGATTCTAGAATTTCTTCCTGTTTCTTCCTGTTTTTTTCTTTTCTCACATTTCTCGATTCTTTTTCTTCCTGTTTCTTTTCTTCATTTCTCGATTCTAGAATTTTCTTCCTGTTTCTTTTCTCCATTTCTCGATTCTAGAAGTTTCTTCCTGTTTCTTTTCTCACATTTCTCGATTCTAGAAGTTTCTTCCTGTTCTTTTCCTCGTTTCTTAATTTTTTTCTGTTTCTTTTCTCGATTCTAGAAGTTTCTTCCTGTTTCTTTTTCACATTTCTCGATTCTAGAAGTTTCTTCCTTTTTCTTTTCTCATTTCTCGATTCTAGAAGTTTCTTCCTGTTTCTTTTTCCATTTCTCGATTCTATTTTCTTGAAGTTTTTCTGTTTTTCTCACATTTCTCGATTCTAGAAGTTTCTTCCTGTTTCTTTTCTCACATTTCTCGATTCTAGAAGTTTCTTCCTGTTTCTTTTCATTTCTCGATTTTCTTCCTGTTTCTTTTCTCACATTTCTCGATTCTAGAAGTTTCTTCCTGTTTCTTTTCTCACATTTCTCGATTCTAGAAGTTTCTTCCTGTTTCTTTCCATGTTTTTTTCTTCCTGTTTCTTTTTTTCTCATTCTAGAAATTCGATTCTAGAAGTTACTTCCTTTTTCTTTTCTCACATTTCTCGATTCTAGAAGTTTCTTCCTGTTTCTTTTCTCATATTTCTCGATTCTAGAAATTTCTTCCTGTTTCTTTTCTCACATTTCTCGATTCTAGAAGTTTCTTCCTGTTTCTTTTCTCACATTTCTCGATTCTAGAAGTTTCTTCCTGTTTCTTTTCTCACATTTCTCGATTCTAGAAGTTTCTTCCTGTTTCTTTTCTCACATTTCTCGATTCTAGAAATTTCTTCCTGTTTCTTTTCTTTTCTCATTCTAGAAGTTTTTCTCGATTCTTCTCGAAGTTTCTTCCTGTTTCTTTTCTCACATTTCTCGATTCTAGAAGTTTCTTCCTGTTTCTTTTCTCATTTCTCGATTCTAGAAGTTTCTTCCTGTTTCTTTTCTCATATTTCTCGATTCTTTTTCTTCCTGTTTCTTTTTTTTTCTCGATTC